GAACAATGGATATAAACAAGGAACAATGGGTGTGTACGAGGAACAATGGATATGAACGAGGAACAATGGGAGTGTACAAGAAACAATGGGTGTGTAGGAGGAACAATGGGTGTGTACGAGGAACAATGGGTGTGTAGGAGGAACAATGGGTGTGTACGAGGAACAATGGGTGTGTACGAGGAACAATGGGTGTGTACGAGGAACAATGGGTGTGTACGAGGAACAATAGGTGTGTACGAGGAACAATGGATATAAACAAGGAACAATGGGTGTGTACGAGGAACATTGGGAATGTACAAGGAACAATGGGTGTGTACGAGGAACAATGGGTGTGTACGAGGAACAATGGATATGAACGAGGAACAATGGGAGTGTACGAGAAACAATGGGTGTGTAGGAGGAACAATGGGTGTGTAGGAGGAACAATGGGTGTGTACGAGAAACAATGGGTGTGTAGGAGGAACAATGGATGTGTAGGAGGCACAGTGGGTGTGTACGAGGAACAATGGGTATGTAGGAGGAACAATGGGTGTGTAGGAGGAAAAATGGGTGTGTACGAGAAACAATGGGTGTGTACGAGGAACAATGGGTATGTAGGAGGAACAATGGGTGTGTAGGAGGGACAATGGTTATGTACAAGAAACAATGGATATGAACAGGAAACGACGGGTGTGAACGAGGAATAATGGGTATCACAAACAATGATTATGTAGGGAAACCAACAAGTTCTTAAAAATAAAGTTTGACATAAGAAAGGAATGACATATAATTCTACCAGAGTATGAACACACCTCTGAAATTTTTGCACAACACTTTCTCCTAGAGGTGTCACAACACACACTGAAATGATCAATGTATATTGCAATACAAAAGGAATGTATTAAGATATGTATTACAATAAAATCTCAAAGGAAAAAAAGCTATAAAATTTCTGAGAATGGTGTTTAATTTGTGACAGACATGTATCACAAAACTTCCATTCATTAATATGTCTTGCTGTCCCAGATTTGACTTTTTCAAATAACTTAATCTCGAAAGATATAAAAATTCAGATTAAAATCTGATAAAGATTTTTTTAATCTTGAATAACATTGTTTACAGATGTGTTGAATAAGTGACCGAATTTCACATTTTTTAAACTCCCCCCACCCCTCCCCTCTCAGAAAAAACCCCATCGTAACCCACAATGTAAGATTTGTCCCCAATTTGACTAGTACACCCAAGGATCTAACTATATGACAGATCATTCAAGTATTTACATTTTTGAGAACTGATCTAAACACAGTTTCTTTACTTTCATATGGATGCTGACTTATAAGCAACACTTTAGTCAGGGATAAGACCTGTCACTGCAGGAAGGCGAAATCACAAACAAACCTGAAGAAAAAAGATCTACGATCCTTATAGAAAGTCTAACTGCTAGCAAGTATCACTACAATACCACAACACAATGTAAACTATCTCTTCAGTAACAATCAAGGCGAGACAAACATTATTGAGGCTGAGACATGTTAGTGAGGTTGAGACACAGGTTAAGAAGGCGGAGACACATGTTAGAGGGACTGATACACATGAAAATGAGATCAAGACACATGTTATGGCTATTGAGAAACATTTCACCAAATATGCACACCTACTCATTTCTCAACTCAATAAACAATAAACGTATCTTCTGTACAAACACTAAATCATAACACAGTATTTCTACGATGACAACACTTGCATACTATCAGGTGTTGTAACCTAAACAGATTCTCCTCTTCATTCTGATTTCGTCTGTTAGATTTATTCCATTACCACAAGGGCGACATAAATCTCAATGCGGTCAGCAAAATTTCTACAGTAAAATGTTTTTCTTTCATTCCTGATTTCCTGACACGTTCTTTAGTAAACATGCAAAACATGCACGATACGCCAACAGTAATCTGAACTTCTTGAATATCACTACAATCAGTTCTTACTAACTCAGTCCTTGACATATATATAAAAAAAAAAAAATAAAAAAAAAAGCACTGTTCTTAATTGTGATGTCAAACTGCTGCCAATTCATGCTTGGAAATCACTTCATGCACCTAGGAAATGTTTATCACATCATTTTCTTATAATCACACCTGCCCTTGAAATCACACCCTATTTTCTTTTCAGAGAAAGAAGATAGGTTTAAGCCTGTAAAATGTTGTTGACTGTTCTACCAATATAATATTCAGCCTTTCTCCTCTATGTCTTCTATAAGCCCACAAAGTTATAAAGCTGAAATTTATACGTTTGTACTTATTTAAATAAACTTTCTGTATTATGTTACCACAATAGGATATCTTAGCACATGTCACATGGAAGTTTTACACTTTTAACAGCTAGCTGTATCTAAAATCTCACCTTTACCAATGTGTATTTGTATGTATATACCGAGTTTCTTTGTTTGAGAATGGCTATAAAAAAACAGGGAAAATAAAAGATGACATCTACAAGTACATAAAGGGAAAAACATATTGTGTACATGTAAAATGACATTTGGAGATTTTTTTGCCGGTAGTTGTAAAAAAAAAAAAAAAGAATAATTTTCGGATCGGAGTTAGGTTGAGTTTCCAGGGTTTATTTCGGAGGTTGAAATTCCTGGACCCAGAATATAATGTTGATGAACCGTGAACTTGATGATGTTTAGCATTATAAAACAACAGCTTGTATCCAATGAACATCTAGTACAAAAAAAAGAATCTGTTCCCGTGGAGTTCTTTATTTTTCTTTCTTTTATTGTAAATCATGGCCAAGAAATAAAGATACATATTAAAAAAATTAACTATATAAGTTATAAAATCTACAACAACTTGAGCATTTAATAAAAACAAACAATGGAATAAATGTTTATAATTGACTTCCAAAATTTAATTTTCACAAAAAGTTTATATTTTTATTTTAATTTGTCTCTGTATTATTTTACATAATAAAATTTTAGCTACCATATTGTAAACAATTTTGGTTAAAAAAAAATTGTACAAAAATATTAAACTTTTTCTTCTTCTCTTTATTATACTGTATTTCAAAAACAGAATAGCTATGTTAACTATTATTTTCTTTTTTTTATCACTTGTGATTAAGATGTTTAATATAAAGCATTTAAAAAAAAAAAAAGTCTAATATTTCATTTCAATGTGAATTTCTTTCATCTCAAATTTTCCCTATTTTTAAAACACACTACTAACACTGATGCTAGAGAAAGATGCTCTCTAAACATGATTCACAGCTGCCCAATCTCATGAAAGTCACAATACTGGATGGTACCCAAAGTCAAACTGATACAACATGAAATTATACTAAATCGTAATGACAAACAAAACAATTAAGCACACAATATTCTGACCTTAATAGTTTAACTAATAGAATGTCACTCTAAAAATCAATTAATGAGACTGATTAGAAAATTTTTTTTTACATGCATGTGCTACGTATTCCATATAAATGGTCATCCTTACTCTGAAAAACTTTTAACCATACAAAATAAAAAAACATTTCAAATTTCCCTCAAAAACAGAAACAGTCAAAAATCGATTTGGATAAACTGATCAAATAGTACTTGGAGTAATGCAACAAGGAATTTTATATATCAAAGCAAACATCAAAGTTTGATATTCAAATTGATTTAAGAAATATTTTGATGAAGAATTACTAATTCAGCTCTATAATATGACCATCTGAAGTCCAGAAATAACAGTTCTTTGTCACTCCTAATGACTCCAGCTGCCTTGTGTCAGTCAAAATTTACAGCAAGTCTTATATAAAGCAAGATTAACGTCAAATCTTAAATAAGTCAAGATTTACATCAAGTCTTGATAAGTCGAGATTTACATCAAGTCTAAATAAGTCAAGATTTACATCAAGTCTTATATAAGTCAAGATTTAAATCAAGTCTTATATAAATCAAGATTTACATCAAGTCTTAATAAGTAGAGATTTAAATCAAGTCTTATATAAGTCGAGATTTAAATCAAGTCTAATATAAGTCGAGATTTACATCAAGTCTTAATAAGTCAAGATTTATATCAAGTCTTATATAAATCAAGATTTACATCAAGTCTTATATAAGTAGAGATTTAAACACAAATAAGTTTATATAAGGTGATATGTACAGAATAATGTTATATAAGTAGAGATTTACATCAAGTCTTGAAATAAGTCAAGATTTATATCAAGTCTTAATAAGTAGAGATTTACATCAAGTCTTATATAAGTCAAGAATTATAAAACACAAATATCATTGTATGATCAGGTGATATGTACAGAATAATGTAATTACCCTTAGGATTCTCCTTTCAATTATCATTTTGAAATAAATAAAGTTTATATTAATGCAGCTCTATTTTTCCTCTTATGACAAATACATCACATGTAAGATATTTTCTCCTCTGTTAACAAATGGACTTTTACATCTCTGTTGGAGTAATTGTAAGAGAATTTCTCCTCTGTTGACTGGTGCAGTATTTGTAAGACAAATTCTCCTCTGTTGACTGGTGCAGTATTTGTAAGACAATTTCTGCTCTGTTAACTGGTGCAGTATTTGTAAGACAATTTCTCCTCTGTTGACCGGTGCAGTATTTGTAAGACAAATTCTCCTCTGTTGACTGGTGCAGTGATTGTAAGACAATTTCTGCAGTGATTGTAAGACAAATTCTCCTCTGTTAACTGGTGTAGTAATTGTAAGACAATTTCTGCTCTGTTAACTGGTGTTGTATTTTTGAGACAATTTCTGTTGACCGGTGCAGTATTTGTAAGACAAATTCTCCTCTGTTGACTGGTGCAGTGATTGTAAGACAAATTCACCTCTGTTGACTGGTGCAGTATTTGTAAGACAATTTCTGCTCTGTTAACTGGTGTTGTATTTTTGAGACAATTTCTGTTGACTGGTGCAGTATTTGTAAGACAATTTCTGCTCTGTTAACTGGTGTTGTATTTTTGAGACAATTTCTGTTGACTGGTGCAGTATTTGTATGACAAATTCTCCTCTGTTAACTGGTGCAGTGATTGTAAGACAATTTCTGCTCTGTTGACTTGTGTAGTAATTGTAAGACATTTTCTCCTCTGTTAACTGGTGCAGTATTTGGAAGACAATTTCTGCTCTGTTAACTGGTGTTGTATTTGTGAGACAATTTCTGTTGACTGGTGGACTGTATAAAACTTTGTCTACAACTGTTGTAGCTTTACTTCCTTCTTTGTTGATTTGTATACTGTTTGTAAGATTGTCTTTGATTAGTTCCACTTCTGGAATGACCTCCCTGGTTTCCTGGATGACTAGATTGGCGGTATTGGTCGTTAGGAATTGAAATACCTGCATAGTGAGAAAAAAAACATTTTAATAAATCTACCAAAATTTAATCATAGAAGTCAGTCATTACACGTTTGCTACTGAATATTAATTGACAAGGGAGAAAAAATAAAGGAAGGCTCTATATGGTGTCCAAAAAAAAAAATCAGTTTATGTCAACCAAAACTGATGTCTGGTCATCTTCGCTAGCCTAAGAGGAATAGGTGGATCATCTACCCTTGACTAGTAAATAATAAGTACTATTTTTCCTACAGAGATCATAGCTGTGGTAATGTATCTCTTATAACAAGATGTTAACACCTTGTCAGGCAAGGACAGTGGGGCCTGGTTAACTATCAGTGCTACAGGACAGTGGGGCCTGGTTAACTATCAGTGCTACAGGACAGTGGGGCCTGGTTAACTATCAGTACTACAGGACAGTGGGGCCTGGTTAACTATCAGTACTACAGGACAGTGGGGCCTGGTTAACTATCAGTACTACAGGACAGTGGGGCCTGGTTAACTATCAGTACTACAGGACAGTGGGGTCTGGTTAACTATCAGTACTACAGGACAGTGGGGCCTGGTTAACTATCAGTACTACAGGACAGTGGGGCCTGGTTAACTATCAGTACTACAAGAATTATAGCTGTGGTAATGTACCTCTTAAACGGGCTGAAGCCAATATTGCAGAAACAATAGCTTTTTAACTTAAAATTTGCCAAACTTGTAAAAGGAATGTTGTATTCATATCCTTCCTCTCCAGAAATTTTTTTTTCTTTTTTTTTTACAAAGTACTTGCAGTAAAATGGAAACAGACTTAAAGACAAATGACTGCTATAGAACTTCACAGCATGTGGGGTGGGGGTTTGGGAGGGGGAACAGGAGAGATAGGACAAAATATGAAATGTTGAAATTGGACATAAAAAACATTGTTGTTTTACTCAGTTTGTATGGTCCTGTGAACTAGGATAGAACAAAAATTGACGATATGTATCTGTGGTAAGGAAATTTACCTAAATTGGGTGGCCCCATGTTACCCGGAGCAGCTGCTATAGACACTTGCCTTGGTGATGACCCAGGAGGAATGTTCTGAAAACAAATTGAGAATGTAGTAAAGATACTGTATTTTACAACACATTCTTATTGATCAAAAAGTTTTTTATCTTCATTTAAATTAAAGTTTGGTTATTGTTTTAAATGTTCTTTTCACTTTTGAACAATATTCCTACTTGGCTTTAATACTTGACACAAACAAACCATATATGGAAATACTTTTATTAGGTGTTAATTTCGTTATGTCATTCATAACACTGAGGATAACCAAGAGCTGACAAATCAGTGCAATGAGACAGAGAGAGAGATAGAGAGAGAGACAGAGAGAGAGAGAGAGAGACACAGAGAGAGACAGAGAGAGACAGAGACTGAGAGAGAGAGAGAGAGAGAGAGAGAGAGAGAGAGAGAGAGAGAGAGAGAGAGAGAGAGAGCACTGCACTGAGGCTGACACTGACAGACAGACAGCACAGAAACTAGTTGAAACAGCACCGAGGCAGACAGACAGACAGCACTTACAGACAGACAGTACAGCACTGACACTGACAGACAGACAGTACAGAGACTGACAGACAGACAGACAGTTCAGTGACTGACAGACAATGCCGAAACTTACATACAGATAGCATCTACAGTGATAGACACTGTCTAATCTGATGTATATCTTAATATTATAATACTCAGCAATTATGTGAATATATGTTAAATCAATTGAGAGGCTCACGAGATATCTGGTACACAAGCATCTTGTTAAACCTTTAACCTTGACCAATAATCACTCAAATTTAGTCAGGTGTAGAATTTGATGGTGCTATGCTAAGGTAATAAAATGAACTAAATCTATTAAGGGCTCATGAGGTCTCACCAGCTCTGTTCTATAGACTGATGGAAGGACAAAGTGACTATAAATATATCCACGTATATGTCTAGTATGGAATCATTTTCACGATAAACTTATTGGTCGATTGGTAGGAAATCATGTTTGAATCTCTTATAAAATACATGACCCCTTCCCACTAGAAGGTACCACAAGAAATCCTGACAGCAATTCTAGACACAATCTCTGATGTTCTTTTTTTTTATTTTATTAATTCCACAAAATTAGTTTTTATGACAACATTCTAGCTGTAAATTATTTATGTTAATCAAATAATTTTACTTAATTAATCTACCTTATTTCGGAAACTTACGTGTGAGAGCAATGTGAATGCCCTCACCAGCAACCAAAGAGAAGATTGAAACTTTTTAATGCTACTGGCTTTCCTACTGGAGTTAGGCAAGGCTTTCCAAGTTTGGTCTTACCATCTTTTGAGAAAATGTGAATAGAAATTCTCAAAGGGACATACATCATGGTAAAACAAAATTTTTGTGATGTTTATATCATATTTTGTATTATTACATATAAATATCAGATGTGTCACCCTGTGAACAATGACAGTTTTTTTCCCGCTGAAATATGCACATAAAACTACTAATCATAAAAGAAAATCTTCCACACTTGATCAAGTCTGTATATGTTAATTTTTGTGCCAGATATAATAAATGCATGCACACAAAACAACACAAGAATAGCTTACAATGTGAATTGGTTGCAGCTGAAAAATGTCTCAATGTCAACCAGGAAGTGAAGAATGACCGAATCGGCAAAAAAAAAAAACCTCAGAATTCCTCTGTGGAAGCTTAACATGGTAGATGGGAGCTTACCATATCAGATGAGAAAGCGATCAGGACAATGCATGTATTCTGCTTCATTGTCTGACAACTGACAAAGTGGAACTAGGTCAAAGCTTTGCATGTTGTTGACAATACATGTATGGCTGGAGTGAGACTTTTACAGAAATTAGGGATATGGATCTCTATTAATTCCAAGTTAAGTTACCAAACAACATCTATTTATCAGTAACAAATTTGTTTGACAAAAGCCAGCTGTCTATGTAATGTGCCACCATATTTTTATCCGCCATCACATGTGTCCATGTATATAAAGGATCTACTACGTTTTCAAACTGTCAGATGATGTTATCAGCTCTAAATTTGAGAGGGATTTCCCGAATAAAATGAGTGGTCAAATTGAACATTGGAAATTGTCTGTAAATATCGGGATACATCAGAAATGTGACTGGAAGCGAAAATAAAAAGCATGCACAACCAATAAAGAGAATAACATTGTAACCCTGGTAAAATACTAGCCACACCATACTGTTCCCTAAAGAGAACTTTTCTCTAGTTTGATTGGTTGAGTGTCAGACTAGTAAGCCAGAGGTCCCATGTTTGAATCTAGCAGACATTGAAATAATCTGATACACTGTCTCTTTGAATCTAGATTATCATAATTCTGGAAATAAAGACAAACTGAACAAGGGGCCCACATATATCCCATACAACTACATCAAAGTGGTTAAGGGTGACCTTTCACCTCTTTATCTTGACCAATGACCAAGAAAATTGCAGTCAGGTGCAGACCTTGGTGATATAATGCTATTTTGTGAACATGAACCAAATCTATGTTGGAGTTTATGAGATATCAGGCAACCAAGGTTATCATGGATAGCAACACAGACAAACGTACAGACAAAGTAGTTACTATGTTTCTTCTATCATGTAAGTAGGGTGTATAAAAAATAATTGACCATGACCAAATAAGAACTTCACCTACAATATCATCATTATACAGCTACATAACACATTACAGAAGGACCACAGACAAAGGGCAATTTAAACAACCCACCCTCTGATGATGGTGAGCTACAAAACAGCTACAAATGGAGTTGAGTATGAAATTGTGTTTAAACTACAAATAGTTAGTAGAAAATTGTAATGAATACAACCAAACTCAGTATTAAATGATGATAACTAGGGAAATACTTTGTCAGAAATCATTTTGATATTGACTTAATATGTCAGGGACTAGCAATATGTTATGAACATCAAAAGGTTACCTGTTTTAGCTAATTTTGTTGTTTGAAAACTTTGATCTCTGCTCCTTTGAACAAATATGTTAAATGTAATATCTTATTAAAAAAGGACCAATCCATGCCAATGCTTGTTGCTTGCTAACTAATTAGAACTAAAGATGTGAATGTACCTGAGCATCATGAGTGGACTGAGCAATGATATGTTGCTGTACTGAAGTGGCTACTAGATCATGTCTACCCTGTGTCACCATGGTAACGCTAGGCACAGAACCCTGCAGCTCCAGGTGACGTGGGGACGGGTGAAGAGGATTATTCATGGGAGCAAGGTGTCTCACCACCGTGTTAGGAGAGGAAGCAAGAAAATTAGTGGTGACAAAGGCCGAGTTAGTTGCCAATGGCGATGTCGATAGAGATGGAGATGGGCATGCATGTGGTGAGTGTGATAATAGCCATACAGGGTACGGGTTTGGCGGTGTCCCTTGGTGGCGCTGTAGTTGAGGATGTTGCTGCTGTTGTTGATGAGACAAACGTTGATGCTGCTGGTTCGACATGTACTGATTCAACCAGGGATGTCCGGACATGCCCTTGTTGTGTGGGCTGGTTGACATGTAGGTCTCTGGGTACTGAGGTCGGCCGATCGGCTTCGGGGAAGATGATGGCCGGGGGTCATGGCCTTGCTTCATAGGTGATACAGTTTGTCTAGGAGGTGGGTACGAGTCGGACAAGTTTACTTTGGACCGTGGACTACCCCGGTAATTGCCCTGAGGACTGCCACTGTTGAACTGCCTCTGTCCTGGGGACCCCTGGTGACCAAATGGCATGGGGATGTTCTGAAAAGGAGCACACACATCAGTAAACATTCACAACTAATCATCCAGTTTATAACAAATCTCCCCAAGTTAAACTGAAGTTAACATTAATTTCTGTCTGACATTGGTTTAAAGTTCTTTGAATTTAACAGAACTTTATAGTACAGTGCTAGAATGAGTGATAAATCAAAAGTTTTATACCAACCACTCCTATGTAAAATTCTATGTTCAAGAAATCATACAATGGACATAGCTCCTTGGGAGTTGAATCAACAATAGAAACTAGACCTGGAGTTGAATCAACAATAGAAACTAGACCTGTCACCTTGAGTATAACTAATACCCCCCACAGATGTAAAGACTTGACATATCAATTTCAGTAAGCACATGTTGCCTTTGTTGCTATTTCATTGGCTGGAATACTGGAATTTATATAAAAAATTTATATAAAAATCCCCAAGAAATCTGCATTCTAAATCCATTATCAACCATACATAAAGACACTTGACAGACCTAAATCCAAAACCTTAATTCTAGAAAACACTGAAAATTGTCAAAAAAAAATTTGGTTATTCATGTGAGGAATAAACCTGCATTATGTGTTAAATGGTTCGACAAAAGTATAAGCCAAGCTTCAAGTTAATTGGATGCTCTGAAAACTGTTATATCTCAAGATGCATAGCTGGACAAAATTATGTTAATTTTTTTATATAAAACAGGGATTACTGCAGTAAACTGAAAAAATGCAAAGACGCTTCAAGGAGCACATCTCCATATTGTGCTGGCCATTCCCACTAAGTTATTGAAAGATCCGTCTTAAACTTAAAAGGTTTTGGCAAACATTATTTAGGACAAGAAATAAGAGATCCACATTTACTACCTACTCCATGGAACCAAGGAATATTAATCTAACCTGTTGAAGCACCAATTATTTCAGCAGAAACACAACAGAAAAAAAACAGCAAGAGATTCATCTCCACCAGGTTCACGCCCAAACACACCAGCTAATATTGTGACATGATAAACTACAAACCCTTGGCTGGCTGGCCATTTGGCGTTGATGCTGTTGATGTTGTTGATGTTGTTGATGTTGATGCTGCTGTTGATGCTGCTGCTGTTGATATCGTTGCCCAGTGTTAGAACTGAGGTGCTGCTGTGAGTTTGCAGGGCGACGCCAGTTCTGTTCCAAATCAGGGTCATTGGGGTCAGACTGTGACCTTCTTAACCCTGCAAGTAAAATGTGTGTTACCTAATTCTCATTTGCATCCTATTTGCTGCTGGCAAGTTGTGAGTAAGGATACTTCACTTTACAATGTAAACCTATGGAATATCCTACCTTTAGTGTGGACAAAGCACTTCCACTGGAAGAATTGCCCACCATAAGGATGGTCGTACTACTCCCAAGACATTTCAGGCAGGTTTGCCTTCCCTTAGAATGGTTGTATTGTCCCAATGGTATTTTTGTGAAGGAGTGCTTTAGAGTGGTTGACCTGCTACTGTGGTATGTTGGGTACAATTGCCTACATTTAGGGCAGATGTACTGCTCTCGATGCAAATTGAGAAGAACTTGCCTACATTAACGGTGGTTGTACTACTCCCAAGACATTACAGGCAGGTTTGCCTTCCCTTAGAATGGTTGTATTGTCCCAATGGTATTTTTTGAAGGAGTGCTTTAGAGTGGTTGCACTGCCACTGTGACATGTTGGTATGGATTGCCTCCCTTTAGGGTGGTTATACTATTTTTGTCACATGTTGATATGGATTGCCTACCTTTAGGGTGGTTATACTACTCCCTTGACATATTGAGAAGGGCTGCTTACCTTTAGAGTGGTTGTACTGCCCTTGTGACATGTTTTTGTCCATGTATCGACCTTGTTCCTCTATATTGTTTCTTTGTCCATCTTCCCTTTGCTGTTTCTTATCCTTGGACCTGAAATTTTTGAACTTTTCTCTTTCTTCTCTGGAAAACAAGGCAAAAACATTTCTGCCATTATAATTTAGCTGGTACATAAGTAAGTAAATATTCTGATGACATCATTTGAAAGCAAGAATAACTGGAAAAACTTAAAGAGGAGATAAATACATTTTATTTTTTTGGTGAATGATCCAGAAAAATCTATCTTATCTTACAAAAATTTTATTTATTTATTTATTTTTACAATGTGGCATCAATTAAAAAAAATTCTGCCCGATACTGTTAGAGTGAGAAAACCTCTAGTTCTCAATAGGGAGAGCTAAACAATGTCCCTCTTATAAAGCAATACCTGCTGACAAAACCAGACAAATGACCTATGACATCTGAAATTCCTAAAGTGACATATTTGTTTAGCATTCCATACTTCATACTTTTGTAAATGCTGATAAACAAGAAGTAAAAAAACACCTCTCTTTCCTTTGAAGGACTTTTGGACACTCCTTGGCAATGTGGCCAATCTTGTTACACACACGACAGCATCGGTCACTAGGAGGGGCCCCTTGGGACAGCTGGTTCTTGTCAAAGAAATATTCCTGTTGCAAAGAAAGATACCACATAGCAGCAAGCATACAGAGTAGTGCTAAAGCATTCAATACATATTCCCTATTGGTCACCACAAAATGTGAAGAACACTTAAATGGACTTAAAAAGCAGAAACGTAAAGTATACATGCTATAACATTATGACATAATGTCAGTGCTTTGACAGAGTAACTTTATCAGCAGCTGAAATTTAAAACTTGATCTAAACTCCTAAGTATAAGCTTACACAAATAATTGTTTATCAAAAACAATGAAAAACAAAAGACTCCAAGGAGATCTTGGTGCCCACCATTATTATTTGGTCTTGATATGTTCTTGAGAAAAACTTATATTCCAAGCACAGAAGTATTAGATTTTTCCTCTATTAGAAACAAATGACAGGTGAACCGTTGAATTTGATTGACAAATCAACTTACAGTGAGAGCTGAACAAGCCTTTGGGATTTCTGTGGGCATACCATAAAGCTCTCTGCCACGGATAAATGTCTTCATGATGTACTGGTTCACTGCACGGTCAATTAACATGACAAATATCAGTGAAATATCAATAACTTAGAATCATATATAAAATAATAACACTATCCGATCATTACAAGATTTTTTGCTTCCATCAACAACATCTCACATTTGATCAGTTAGTGTAGATGTTTTTGCGTCTTTAGTACAAAATTTTGAAAATATCTTGACGAAAGAAAGACTAATACTGATTTAAAAAACATATATAAATTAATAAAACTATTTAATCATTACAAACTTTTCTGCTTGCATCAACAACATCTCACATTTGATCAGATAAATACCTTGTTAGTGTAGATGTTTTTGCGTCTTAGTACAAAATGTTGAAAATATCTTGACGAAAGAAAGACTAATACTGATACGTAACAATGAAATCTGACAAGGAAAAATGTACTTGTAAGGACACTGTTGTCTACATCACAGCCATATATGTATATATGTTTATTACGATACAGCTTTAGTTACAACAAAATACGAAAAAACCTGGATTACCCTCATCCTATAACCTGCCCAGTATTGTTCATAACATGTCTCCAATAGACTATCTTGAAATACTAATATCAACACTTCTAACAAATATTTCATAAACCTTATAACCAGAGGTGTCCGAGAGGTATCCAGGCAATGTGTAACTAATAGTTTGTTACTTGTGATATCCATTAGCACAAATTCTAGACTTGCACTCAACAGACAGTGCTAATTTAAGTACACCCTAGCCTAGCACTAAATTACAAGTGTTTCATAATATGTTTCTATGTGTAAATTACCTTAAATGTTGTGCTTATTCATATTTACAATTAAAATCGTACATAGATAAAACAATACTTACTCTTTCGAGACAGACCACCACCAAGGTTATGTGCAAGGTCAAAAGGATCTGCAAAGTAAACAAATTTTTGTTGTCTCATCATTTTCAATCTTTGGTAAAATGTGTTAAATTAACGCTTTGTTCACTTCATTAGGAACAGGCTTTGTAACGACTTAAGCTATAGAAACATGGCCCTATCAAGGGGGAGAACTCTAATTAGACACAACTACAAACTTTGACAACTGTACAGTGGTACTGGACTGGGTCAGCAACCAGGCAGCTGAATTGGTAAAGCGTCCGTCTAGAGTTTGAAGAGTAACAGGTTCAAACCCTAATCTGGCTGTGAATTTTTCCACTCCTATCTGAATGTTTGACAAGGAAATACACCCAAAGCTGGGTTAATAATGTTTGTGTCTTCAGAGCTGACGCATTAGGAAAGGATGAATGTAAGAGAAAAACAGAACTGGGTCAATCGTTGTTGACCAGGTTGCATAATTGGTAAGCATATGTGTAGTGCAATATTTTCACATCTGAATGTGTCTAAAATACATTGATGTCCTTGTGAAGTCTACAGTAATGGTATAACATTCCTCCATAGCTCTTGCGAGATTTAGTTATGGTTATTTTTAAAAAAGAATTTTACATCGACTGCTTTAGTAAAGGTATCATATGTAAACAACCTTCAGTGTGCATGTAGATAACTTACCCTCTATTGCAATACATTTTCCATTCCACAGTTTTTCAAATCGTGTCAGTGGCTCTGACAGTCTGATGCAAACCACATTATCCTTAATGGAGAACTCTTCAGTGTAAAAGACAAACATTCCCAACCACAACTCTCCCAAACTCTGCTGGTTCTTACACTTCCAAATTTTAGGCTGAAATGTAGAAAAATTAAATTTGATTTATAGCTGACCCTGTCTGAAGAACCTGACACTGTCCTGTCCTGCTTTATAGCCCATCCTATTTATAGTACCTGACACTGTCCTGTCCTGATTTATAGCCCATCCTGTTTATGGTACCTGACACTGTCCTGTCCTGATTTACAGCCCATCTTGTTTATGGTACCTGACACTGTCCTGTCCTGATTTATAGCCCATCCTGTTTATGGTACCTGACACTGTCCTGTCCTGATTTATACCCAATGCTATTTATGATGTTGATCTGTCCCAATTAATAGCCTGGTACTTAGCCCCGACCTGTCCCAATTTATATCAGACCCTATTTGTTGTACTGGACATTGTCCTGTCCCAATTTAAAGCCAACCCTGTCCTGCTCTTTTATTTATAATTTATCCTGTCTGTTGTACATGAGCGACCTGTCTTAATTTTACAGCATTGTACCTGACACTCGCCTGTCTCATCACAAAATCTCAAACTTACAATGACTGCGACAGACATAAAATTATAAATGGGTTCTTTTGGATTAGAAGTATTAGTTTACAAATCCCAAGTAATTAACAAATATATACACAGTCCCACCAGTAAATATTGGTACTAAATCACTCTCTTGTCACAAGGAAGTCATACATTGTACCACAGAAAAAATATTACATTGTTGTACTTATTTCTTTGTACCTTTTACACAGAAACAATATGGAAGCCAAGATATACCAATAAGGTGATTGTCCTGAATTTTCAGATAGATACACAACAGTTCACAAGGTAAAAAATACAATGTTTACCAGTTTATCTACATCATCGAAGTACCATGTGTTCCAGCCATCTACTATCCTCTCTGGCTTCCTTCCTGGGTATAACTGTAACACAGCAAAGTCTTAGATTTCCAAAAGAATCACAAAATAAGACATTTTGATCTTCAGAAAAGATATCAAAAAGATAAAAATCAAATAATTAAACATCGATACATCAAAAAAAGAGTTATTTGTGACATTAATTACTATCATCTTTTTCTCATCTACTTTTAAATAGGAAATCAGGTAATAAAATGTATAAAGAAAAAAAAACACAGATAACATAGTGGAAGTTTGTACAACATGAGGTAGACAAGACCTTTACCTCCTGTAGGACAGGTAACACTGATGGTACTCACATCCTGTAGGACAGGTAACACTGATGGTACTCACATCCTGCAGGACAGGTAACACTGATGGTACTTACATCCTGTAGGACAGGTAACACTGATGGTACTCACCTCCTGTAGGACAGGTAACACTGATGGTACTCACCTCCTGTAGGACAGGTAACACTGATGGTACTCACATCCTGTAGGACAGGTAACACTGATGGTACTTACATCCTGTAGGACAGGTAACACTAATGGTACTCACATCCTGTGGGACAGGTAACACTGATGGTACTCACCTCCTGTAGGACAGGTCACACTGATGGTACTCACATCCTGTAGGACAGGTCACACTGATGGTACTCACATCCTGTAGGACAGGTCACACTGATGGTACTCACATCCTGTAGGACAGGTATCACTGATGGTACTCACATCCTGTAGGAGAGGTAACACTGATGGTACTCACATCCTGTAGGACAGGTCACACTGATGGTACTTACATCCTGCAGGACAGGTAACACTGATGGTACTTACATCCTGTAGGACAGGTAACACTGATGGTACTCACCTCCTGTAGGAGAGGTAACACTGATGGTACTCACATCCTGTAGGACAGGTAACACTGATGGTACTTACATCCTGTAGGACAGGTAACACTGATGGTGCTCACCTCCTGTATGACAGGTAACACTGATATGTTACACAGCTGGAGGTAGTCAAGATACTCACCTTCTGTTGGAAAGGGAACATTGACGGTTTACACCCAGACAGAGAGTCAAGATACTCACCTCCTGTAGAACAGGTAACACTGATGGTTTACACTGTTGGAGGTAGTAGATGAGAAGAAGAATGTAGGCATAGGAGGACAGGCTCCCCCTGGAGGCATCCCCAATTTCACAAACCTGTCCAATTAAAAAGGTCCATTTACCATTACACTATCAAGCTGAGCAAGCATTGAACTTAACGTCTTCCATGTAAAACAAGTTTTAATGAACAAACATCACTGAATTACTTTCTCCTAAAGGTATGTAATTTTGAGGATATTTTTTGGATCTGGAGTGGTGTAGGATACTTTCACATTGTTTACTGTTTAACATCTAGATGTCTTAACCTGAAGCTGAGGGAGAATTTCCCACAAGAGATAATTAATAACTTACCTTGGCAAACACTTTGAAGGCATAGCCAAGACACTTGACCCGAGGGTCTAAAGAGGCATACAGTTGGATCATCTTAGTGTTGTATAGTGCCTGAGGAGGTATGGCAAAAGTTGTGTGAGGACGGTATTGTCTTATTCCTTAACAGAGGCAATGACAGAACTGGAATTTCACTTTTAATCCTATATCAAATTTCAACAAAATAGTTTGTAAGGAATAAAATACAAGATAATGTTAATATAAATGTGAATATCATTTCATATTATATACTGAATACCTTAAGCTAGTAGAGCAGTTCTGCTGTCTAAGATACAACACGCAATGTCTTCAAAACCAATAAATCAGTTGTACAAACTTACGCCTTTCTCCTACAAATCTTACCAGCAAGTTATATAAACTGATGTCTCCCTCCAAACGACTGCGTCTGTGTTTGAACTTTACAATCGGAACCTTAGCTGTGGTGATGGAAAACACATGGTAAAGGCCTCGGTGCTTCTTTAGCTTCTGTGTAATTTCTTCTATCACTGCCACTGGGTCCAGACCCTTAGTAAGGGGACAACACAAAGGAGGTCATATTTTGGAACACATGAAATGTGCATTCTGGCAAAAAAGGATTCAAATCCAAACCTAAATCAAGGTATTGTCTGTGTACAGAATTTGTTATAAACAAAACTTGTCTGTCTAGAAAATATTGCTAGACTGTTGGCTTATCTACTCCTGAAAAATTCAATGAAGTTTGCTGGTAGTTTGGCCTCTCAACAACAGAATTATGAACAGCAAATGATAAAATGGACAAATCCAATAAAAAAAAAATCAGGGTGAAAAGTAACATTTTATTTGAGTGTCACTGGTAATAAGGAAAATAAAATAAGTATATATATGTTGAGGCTAAATCTGTGAAGTGAATATCTGAAAATATTCAGGAAAGTAAATGTGTAACGGTTCCAGCATTAGAAATGATAAATGTTAAAAGATGTAAAATTGTAAGCATCTGCATCAGACAGTACACGATGATTTAGATATGAAAAAATAATCCAGTTGCCATCCATATTGTATTTAAAAAAAAAAAAAGGAATTCTCACACCTAATACCAAATAAAAAAAAAGTCTATGCATTTGGAAAACTTTTTAGCAGGTACCAACCTCACTAGTAGGCTTGCCCTGGAAGGTCACACAAAGGTCAATGTCACTTTGTTTAAATCCAAATCCATTATGTGATGACCCAAATAAGTGAAGTTCAGCATCTGTAATGTTGATAGAAATAGTGTTGTTTAATTCTGTTGTAACTTAATTTATAATCAACTGAATTCTTATAATAAAAATAAAAATCTAGTTGGAAAAATATTTATCATCAACAGCCAAAGTGGCTTTGTATTGAATTTCGACCAGATCTGTATTCAACAGAGTTTTACTTATTTAGCTAAATCAGAAGTTATAATACTGTAAATTTAATATTTTTTGAGGGTGAGCTATTTTCATTAATTTTGTGGGTACTCTTAATCAATAAAGTCACATGTCCATTAAACATATATATGTAGACTCATTGAGCTTTGCCTAAACACAATATCAAGTGTCCAAAAAATGATATTGAAAAATTACCCAAATAGTTTCCGATGAAACCATATGATTTTTCTTGCTATTCAGTGAATACAACAATGTAAAATATTTTTTGTGTTTTACACATGTAATATAATCTCTCGTGAAGTCAGGTTTCAATAATGAAATGACATCACACTCTAACAGACTGTATTGTGACGTAACAAAAGAGACCATATATAAAAACCCAAATGACAAGAGTGTGATGCGGAAATGTCTATTTTCTACAATATCTGCTCGAATAATCGATCATTTGATGAAAAAAATATTTGATTAGTTCTATTTGATTTGTGATTTATGAAATGTATCCCAATTTTTTTCATTTTAGCAAGCCTTTAAAACCAACAAGAGACACCATGGAGATCTCGGTATCATCATTGTTTGATCTTTACTTGCTCTTTAAAAGTTTGATCTTTTCCCTTCTTTCTAATGTTTTTGCACTTAACTGCAGGAAATTTGAAAAGTCCTCTGACGAAACATGACAGTAAACTTTACATCAAATGGGCAAAACTCAGGAGTAAAGATATAATCAGTGTATGAAATTTCAAAAAGTATTTCTCAATCAAAGCAATTTAACAACTTTCATTGGGTATCCACAACAACCACTTATCAGCCATTTTGAAATTTGAGAAAGATTCATCTTGTACTTCTAAAGAAGAAGCCATATCCGGAATTGTTCAAGATCTGACGACAAACCAAACACATTGCAATTTGACCAGTCCACCATTTCTTTCATAAATCACACATCAAATAGAAAGAGTAAGATCCTGCAGATCTTGTATATACCTGGGTACAGCTCCTGAATGAACTCCTCCAGCTCTAGTCTGATATCCTCTCTGTCTGCTGATTCTTCTTCCTTGACAGCAACTTCTCCTAAAAAAAAATCCACACATTTCAGTTTTTAAATGGCCTGCATCAACATCGAAAACACCAAACTTACACAGGATCTGGATCTGTAAAATCTAATGCTGACTTAGACAAGAGTTTCTCAGAACAATATGTGTCACCTGCGTAAAGTGTCACGGTTACCCAGAAATTGAACTGGATGTGCAACGATCAACCATAAAGATGTAATACCACATTTCATTTCTATAACTTGAAGCATAACCAAAGAAAGTCAAGAAAACAATATTCCCAGGAAATTTTCCAAGTTGAAAGGGGCATAACTCTGCCAAAAAGGGTCACAGACAGCTGGGAATCAAACTTATCTGTAGCCTTGTAACAAGAAGCCATATACCAAATTTCATTTTGGTAACTCAAAGCATTACCGAAAAAAGTCTGAAAAAGCTTTCGTATGGACGCTGCCGCCACCGCCGCCAACGCGTGACAACGGACATAGTGATTCCTAAGTGTCCGCCAGCTCTGCAGGCGACACAAAAACTGAGTATTGAGTCCAAAAAGTTTATTTCTATGAAAGTGTTGTAAATACATATCAGTGAATAAATGTGACACCTACTTGGTACCTGCTTGATTGTATTGGTAAGACACCTCAGGAAATCTTTTGTCATTTTCGGCAGTGGTTTGAGATCAGGGAGAGCCTCTTCAGGGCAAGAATTTTTCAGATGGCCTTCTTTCTCACAAATACTACAGATGATCATCGGACCCTGTATTTAATAAAACATGTTACTGATCATAGCTACAGCTGATAATTAACAGAGATCTAAATTCATGGTAAATACTGTATTAAATGTATTATTTAAGTTTGCGAGGTTAATAAAGCATTATTTGTTGCAGTTTTGGCTAGTTTATGGAGATTGAATTTCGCACTACACCAACTTTAGCAGTAAACAGAAAAAACATATTTTCATATTATAATTTGATATTAACATTCTCAAAGATTTTGATTCACTGTAAAAATGTTTGTTTGTTATATAAATCTGTGTAATCTTTAAAGACCATTAATGAAGTGACATTACATGCCTTACAACAAGAAGAATCCTGAAATTAAGATCAAAGGCTGATAAAGCCTTGCAACAGATTCCAATAAGGTTATGAATCCGAAAAACAGTTGTCAGGGTTTCAGAGAAATCTGTAGATTTATAGAATGCGTGGAATAAAAAGATCTAAAACAACTCTATCATTCACTTTCTCTAGATGTAAAAAGACTATTATTCAATATTTATTCAATATATTTATTCAATATTTATTCAATACTTAATAATCGAGATCTTCTCAGTAGTATTAAAAGTTCTATGTGAAATTCTGGATATTTTGCTTAACAAAAAGTTATTTAAGATTTTCACATATTTGGGTTTCTGAAAGTGAAGGAAGGTTATTCATTAACAACTTTGATCACTTGTTTTTCCAGCATGCTTCAGGCTAAATGTCATGACCCAGGGACTTTTGATTATTAAAAAGTTGTTCAATGTTTTAAACACATTTGACCCCTGTGAAGTTGAAAGTAGAAAAAATTGCTTCATTTGAAAAAAAAACCTTGAAAGCCTTTCAGCCCAGCATAGTACTGGCGAAATATTATTTGCCAAAGACTTTTGGTCACTAAACTAAGTTATTTAAGTCACTTAGAGAAAAAAATTGATGCCCAATGGACAATTGAAAGATAACAGATGCTGCACCACAACATAATCAGCTTTCTGACAGCCGACTTTAAACTTAATTCTAGAAATATAAGAAGATTACCTTTCCATCGGTGAACTTTTTCTCCACAAATTCAAAATCATATTCTAGATTGAGTATTGCTTGTGAATCTGGCTCAGGAGTACATTTCATTTCCCTTGAATCAGTACCATCATTTTCAGGCTCTGGAGTACACTCAACTTCCTTTGAATCAGGACAAATATTTTCAGGCTCACAAGTACTCTCTCCTTCCTTTGAATCCTGGCTGTCATTTTCAGGCTCTGGAGCACACTCCATTTCCTTTGAATCATGGCTGTCATTTTCAGGCTCTGCAGCACACTCCATTTCCTTGGAATCAGGGCTGTTGTTTTCAGCTGTTGGAATACTCTTAACTTCCTGTGAATTCACTTTTGCCGTCTTTGAATCCAGTTCCTGACAGATATTTACAGACTTCTCCTCTGAATGAACCGTCTCCTCTTCCTTTGTAGTTGCCAATTGCTCCTTCAGATTTTCTTGAGTTTCACAAACACTTTGATCACCGAGCACCAAATTATCGCACCTTTCCACTAAAATCTCTTCAGCAGCAGTATCAGGTGGTTTGGCACTTTTCTTCTTTTTATCCATTAGAGTCAATTCTGATAACGTGTTCACTAATGAGTCTTTGGCGAGTTGCTCTGAGGCAGATTCAGAAGGAATGTCTGAGGATTTCGGATCAGAATGTACAACAGACTGTGTTGTGTCACTACCACATGCACAGCTGTCGGTTAATTCTGCCTTTACAGATTGAGACAGTTGTGTTGATAAATTTTCTCTTGTTGGATCTAAACTAGAATTATCATCCTTCTTATTTTCTGCACCACTTCCTTCTGGTGTCTCTACTTTGTCCTTTTTCTCTAGACTAGAGAAATCTAGCTGCTTTCGAATGCTGCTAGTGCCTTCTCTTTCAGCCTGCTTATCCTTATTTTCTGCTTTTTCGTTGCCGCCTTCATCATCCAACTCCTCCTCTGAGGATCCTAATATGATAACATCAGAGTTGTCTTCAGACTCATCTACAGTTTCCTCAACATTTTTCTTTTCTTCACTACTATTCTTTTTATTTAGTTTCAGTTTTTGTCCTTTCTGCTCTTTCAACTTTTCCTCTTTCGCTAGTCTTTCTTTCTCGGCCTTGGCCTTCAGCCGCGTCTTTTCTAGAGCTTGTTTTTGCTGAACTGAAAGCTTGTCATAGTTTGTTGGTAGACTGAAGTAGAAGTAAGACTTTCTGAAGCAGTCCCAGATGTACTGAAACACCTCGTAATTCGTCACAGACCGTGCAGCATTTCTCTTGTTGGAAAATGGATCTTTGGAGAGAAAAACCAACTATTTTACACTAAACTGAACCTCATATATAACTGAAAAACAATAATATTTCCACAATTTCAATTTGATATATTCCTTTACCATCTTGAGGTATATTGAGATAAACAACATTACCAATTATATCTGCTTTTACTATATGATGCTTTGTGTGAAATTTCACTTTCGGTGATTTTTCGAAAAAATTTCTATTGGTTGGCAATGTCAATAGCACAGAAGTTCTGATAACACCAGTAAAAGATTAGAGTGTGACGTTTTGACGACAACACAGTCACCTTCATCAGGTAAATGACCTGTGTGTTAGTATGCTCCACACTGATCATTTTTCTGATGAAGGTGACCATGTAGTCCTCAAAATGTCACACTCTAATCTTCTACTGTTTGTGATTCAACAACTTCTATTCTATCTACCACATTTCAGTGAAGTAGTAAAAATTGCCACATGGATTTATTTGTGAATTATCACCTTCAATGGCCACCCTCTTTGTATTCCATTTCTTTTGAGACCTGGTAAGGTATTTTTCCTGTCGCAGGGATACCACAAACTGACTATTGTCAAATTCTAGGCAGTAGAAGCGAAGCATATCCAGCCACAGTGCACCCACACTCTTACTATTTTCTGTCCGCCATTTTCCTGCCTACAACAGCGACCAAATGAATAATAATCCAGTAAGTGAACTTTTTCATATTTAAACAAAATTTAAAGCTGCAAAGCAATTTCTTCTCATGGGAGCTATTTGTCACACAAATCTTAATCTTTCTATGAATCTATGAGACTTTTATCAGTATTTTTCATTGTTGTTATTGTTTATTTGGTATAACTGAGGCCCAACAGTCCTCAATAACTCACCCGACCCTACAGATCAAGAACCAGGCTTCATCAGACCATTATCTTTTTGCAAATTTGAAAGCCTGTAATGCCAAAATTCTACTACACAAGAACCACAACATGATGGGTCATTGAAATGAAGTAGCTTGGAGTTCTTGGAGCATGTTTGATCCCTGAGACATTATAAAGGTCATATGTTTGTATAAACTTGGCAGCCCCACATCCCAGCATGAATGACACTGATTTTCATCTCATGAACTTGGACCTCCTTATCAGTGTGATGAAATTGTTTAAAGATTTCAACACATTTCTGGCCTGGAAAGTGGGTCAGTTGGGTTAGTGATTCATAAACAATTTAGCATTTTCACAGCATCATCTGTACTGAATCCACCACACTACCATACTGTGTTGTGTTGTACATGTACTATCTAGGATTTCTACAGTACTTCACAGTGTTACAACAGCTTTATTGCAGCATCTCCATGGTGTTTCCATCTGATGTAGAACATTAAACATGTAAGGATCTGTACCATTCGTTGGCTTCATGATAGTTATTAATGTCAGTATGAATTTGTAAAACAATTTTACAAGAAATGTTAAAATATGATATCCTGCTATTGTTCATATATTTACCTCTTCTTTGATCTTGGCGAAGTTTGCTTCCTCTGGAGGCGGTGTCTTCTTTCTCTTGGTAGGAGATTTACTCTCATCTTCATCAAGGCCCTGGTGATACAGAAACAGTACATAGATACAGTAAACAACAAGGCCTCTTGTACACACCTAAGAATGCACTAATATCACAATTCCCCTCCCCCACTACCTCCCAAAGATCAGCCTCAATACTCTCTGTATCCCAAGACCATGTCATTGCAAAATTGAAGGTTCTATGTGGACAAGACTAAAAAGACTAGTTTGATCCTTTGATGTAACATCAAGGAATCTTGAGGTCACATAACAGTATATTGTTGTTGCTTTGAAGTTGGGTGTTGCTCCTTTGTAATCTTCAAAAGGAACATATCAGCCTGTGATTGGTCAGTTTTTTTATCCTGGAACCAATCAAATCACTTCACATGTGCCTTCAAGTTTGCCATGACATATTCCAGGGGTGCAGAGAGTGAAAGTGATTGTAACCCCTGGAGCATCGAGGATGTCCAAAGACTATCTAACTTCATCATCTGGAACCAATGCATATAATGTGATTTTATTTTAATATTTTTATAATTATATAGCATTCTGATGATATACAAGGACATACCAATTAAGTGCTGTTTCAATTTCATTTTTGTGCCATTAAAGAAATTTGAGTTTTTAACAGATTTTCCTAGATCAGACAAGTAAGCAATAAAATTCATTACAAATTCTACATGATTCAAATGAGTTGCACCAAAGTACAACGACTTACCAAATCAAGCACTGGAAGAACAGCTGGTTTACACTTCTGTAGATAGTACACAACCAATAGGGAGAAACAGTAAGCTGGAAGAGTACCCTCATCTTGTCTGTCTATTTTACAGATCTGATAATATAGAAATATATAGACAAGATAGTACACAACCAAAAAGGAGAAATAGTAAGCTGGAAAAGTACCCTTATCTTGAAATGTCTTATATCTTATGTTGAAAGAGTACCCTCATCATGTCTCACAGATCTGAAGACAAAATTAAGGCAAAAGTATACAAATATCTGAACAAACTGTCCACTTGTTTTGTTTATTTTACAAAGGCTTGGGTAAGTAATGTACAGCTGCTATACATCTTATCATGTCTGTACACAGTATAATTTATCATTAACAATATAAGCAGGTAGGTAGTGTACAGCTGGTATACATTTTATCATGTCTGTACACAATATAATTTATCATTAACAATATAAGCAGGTAGGTAGTGTACAGCTGGTATACAATTTATCATGTCTGTACACAATATAATTTATCATTAAAAGCATCTCCCAGATCATGGCTTTGACTTTGTACAAGGCACTTTACAGTTTTTGATAATCCTGGTATCAATATATTAGAGGAGACACTGAGAGGAGTACTTAGCCATTAGCATTCGGAAAAACCAAGAAATTGAAGCTGGTTATGTAAAACCTACCTTGGCAAAGTATCTGAAAATTATTCCAAGCTTTCTGACCCTCGGGTCAAGATCTGCATAAATACAAAGCAAAGTGGACGTCTGGGGGGCCAGGGATCCTGTGACGGTCAGCTGGCAGGACAATGACCCGGAATGGTCAGAAAAGTAGATACATGGAACTTTAGCTGAGAAGTCACTCTTCACATCCTGGTAGTCTTCTGTTGATACATATCGATGTTCAAAGCTTGTATCTTATAAACCTCATATATGTGTGACATTAATTACACAATTATATTATCCTTAAACTATCTTCATCACAATATATTTGACAGGGAGAAAAGACAGCATTATCAAATGTGATGAATTATTTCTTTGTGTCAAATATGAGATAAATAAGTGATAATGGTGAGTAATAAGTCATTACCTGACTCCTTCATGACCTTGAAAGCCTTAGTAAGGGCCTTTGCCTGACCTAAGTCCCCTTTCACCAGCAGATCCATGTTAACATCACAACCCTTCAGTGCAATTCCTGTGTGTGAGGATCCGTAAAGCACAACACTGACATCTGGAAATGGAAAACAAGAACCTGCCTAATTTAATATCTCCATGAATGCACACAACAGGAATTAATTTTTCAAAGGAAACCAGTTTGCAGGATAACCAAATAGTGGATAGGCCACAGATCTACCAGCTTACATATTAGCTACAAGTCAGCCAGGCTGCAGGATTAGCCACTTGTCCGTCTGCATACAAGATTATCAACTGGCCTTACAACCTGCAGAGTTATTAATCATTGGTCCGTCAGCTTGCAGGATTACCTACTCATCAGCTAGCCTATAGGATTTTTATTAGCTACTCATCAGCTAGCCTATAGGATTTTTATTAGCTACTCATCAGCCAGCTTATAGGATTTTTATCATCTACTTATCAGCCAGGCTGCAGGATTAGCTACTTTTCTGCCTGCCTACAAGATTATCAACAGGCCTGGCAACCTGCAGAGTTATTAGCTATTTTTCCATCACTCTGCAGGATTAGACATTGGGTCACTCAGTTGCAGGATAAGCACCTAATCCACCAGCTTGTAGGATAACTAGACAATGGTCTACCAGCTTGCAAGATAAGCCACTGATCCACTAGTTGGCAGAATTACAAACAACTTGTTTGCCAACCTTCTGGATAATTAGTCTACCAGCTTGAAGAATTTGCAACTGGTTAAAGAACTCTTAATTGCTCGTCTGTTGGATCTGTGGCTTTAACAATTTTCATTGGCAAATGTGTATAACAAAGTAATATGATGGATTTAGGCTGTAGCTGTTGTTCATTACTTCCATCCTCTTTTTCGAGAGAATTTTTATTTAACATCAAAATAATTATTCTTTTTCTTTTTAAAAACAGGATTCTGTAAAATCATGGAGAGTTTAATTGATTACACTATCAAACCCTTAAATCCGAGAAAAATGACAGACCACCATGTTTAACTGATACCTAATTCAATTATAAACTTCAGCTTTAATAATGTAAACACATTGGTGTACAGCCATTATGTAATTGTGATGAGTACCTGGCTGAGTTTTGCAGAGAAATGTTTGAAGATTTTTAGCTGCCTGGGCCCTGTATTCCAGATCCTCTTCTTGCAATGCATGCTGACGGTAAATTTCATCTGCCACGCGATCAATGGCCTTCACCTGGTCATCTCTCACAGCTGGCATCTTCTCCAGAAGTGTCTCAATTTTGTTAATCTATCACAACATACATTGTTTCTATAAACATTGTTCATGTCTCAGTAATCAAGATATCCTTTTAACCCTTTCGGCGCCAAATATCTCTCACAATGTACAGCTCAACGCCAAATATCTCCCACAATGTACAGCTCAGCGCCAAATATTTTCCGGAAAATATCCGAAAACAATGGCAGCATTACTGAAACAAGCATATCTTGGCTGATAATAAAGATATAAAAATTGTCGACCAAAGTCGCATACAGCGACCTGTCTGCATGTCGACTTTAGTCGCCTGCGGCGGCCTGTCTCCATGTCAACTTTAGTCGCCTACGGCGGCCTGTCGGCATGTCAACTTTAGTCGCCTACGGCGGCCTGTCTGCATGTCAACTTTAGTCACCTACGGCGCCGAAAGGGTTAAAAAGTAGGATCCCCAGCAAGGGATCAATGCATTTACTAGTACACATGAATGTAAACTGATGGGACAATTGGTATATTATTTACAGTAGTATACTTTTTCTAACTGATTATCTGTTAGAGTTGGATGCTCTTTCCAATTTAGTTAACTGATCAAATATTCAGACACTTTTCAAAACCTATATGGTTTAACTTTTGCCTTTAATGCTATTTAGATACAACAATGTGGTTTTAAAATATCCATCCATTTTGAAGATTTAACAGTGCAATTAATAATACAAAATGGTATGATAAAACAGTAACTAATTTACTCCTTTTTTGTAACATACACTTGTAGCAAAACCAAATCTCAGGTTCAATGTACATGGTGTAAATGTTAGACGAGATAAGATGATAACAGTGTTGAAACTGTACACACAGTATGATATACCTCTATTCTGCGTTTATGACGATTGTCCTGCATATGTCGGTCACAATCCACAGGAGTATCCATATGATAATCACACAGACGACAAAAAAATTTGGCCTGTACAAACCTTGTTGATTTCTGAAACAGGAACATTATCATTATTGTGTCATTGTATGAATTTGTGAATTTAAAGGAAATTATTCGTGTTTTGAAATATCATCAGGATTCCTGTTTTCTGAAATTGTGTAGATTTCTCCAAAGAAAGAAATTTGCAAAGAATCTGGTTGATTTTATTTTATGATTCATAGATTTGAACTGAAAATTGTAACAAAATCGTATGGTAACGACATGGTTCTGCTTGTTTAAATCATACTGTAGCCTAATGCTTTTAATAATTTAGAAAAATTTGAGTAATAAGAATTTGAGCACTTGATCAAAATTGCTGGTAAAGACTCTCTCGGATATAGAAATTTCGCTCGAGCATCCCTGTCAACAAGCTGACATCAAAAAAAGCAATCATTCTGTGTGAAAAATTCTTCATTTGGGCATTTTAATATAAATCACTATTATGGATTGATCAATATTCAGGCTCTGGTAAAATAAAATCAGCTCCATCTAACTTGCACACATTATGAGATTACATGTATACTGTATGCAATAAAACAGAAACAGAACATACCTTTTTCAGTGGAAATATTCCGGTTTCCTCTAATTTCTTCAGTAAGGCTTCCTGTGATAGTACCTGTTTTGCCTCCTGATTTACTCCTAAAACCACAACAGATGTTGATGAAAACTACACAAACACACTCATCAATCAACACTTACTAAAAAATGTATTAAGTACTTTATCAGATACATGTAAAAATGAAGAAACTCACATGATCTTGTCATAGAGTGATGATATGCTAATGATGAAAAGAATTCAGAATCTACTCATTGATTACTGTTGTCTTTACAGAAAGTGACACTCACATCTAAACAAAAACATCAACAAATCGCTCATTTCTATTTACCTGTATATAAACAATGATTGAAGAGCACTCTATTTACATATGTAAAAACACTTTGAGGTCTTACTTTTTACTTGTATGTATGTGTTCCTTATTGAAGACATTCTTGGTATATAGACCTGCCATATCTCAACATTCTAGAACATATATTTCTTTAAAGATCAATAATCAATACTATTTAAAATCTTACCACAGTATTTTGATTAAATATATAAGATTCCACACAAAAAAATTCTACAACACCAGAAAGCTTAAATAAAAATAATACTTAATCATGGCAGATTTGTATAATCTGATATCAGTAATAATTGATCTTCCTGTTTGTTTTGCCTGTAATGTGCCTACATCACAAAATGAGATTTATCCACGATCACTGTTATGTACCTTTTTTTATTTCTGGTTCACTGCGTTCATTCTTGCTAGAAGTGCTTTTTGACTTCTTCCCAACATCCTCCTTGTGTTTCTTTGATTGGTTATCTCCCTTTTCTAATTTCTTTTCTATTGACTGCTTTTCTTCTACATCAAATTCTTTCTCTGTTTGTGCAGCTTTTTGTTCCTCAGCCTTTTTCTTTTTCATCTTCTTTTTTTTCTCCTTCTTAACAGGCATATCCCAAAATTTCTTTACCGCTTCCTCAATTTGTTTGTTTCCGACATTATCCATTGGTATGTTACCATTATGCTTCTCGTCTTGTTTCGATGCCACCACATCATCACCTTGTGAATTCTTTATGTGCCTTTTGGCTTTTAAAATCTTTCTTAATTCCTTGTCACTTGTTGAAATGGAACTTATTGAAGAAGCTAACTCATGATTATTGAGAGGACCTTCAAGAGCTTCCAAACCAATCAAGCTTTTTTCAGCAGAAAGATGGACTTCACTCTCTTGGCTGTTGGCATCCATAACTTTGCTTCGTCTTTTTCTGGTCTTTTTGCCTTCATTGTTGTGGTTTTCTGACTTTTCATCTAATTCCTGTGATGTTTCTGTTGATGCTATAGCTGGTTTCTCTTTCTCCTTGTCATCTTTCTGTTGAAGAGGCTGTTCACTACTTGGTGATGCAGCAATTTTATCTGATGTTGAATCACTTTCTCCTTTCTTGAAGTTAAGAAGACTCTTAATACCTATCTCAATTTCTTGAGTAGATAGACTGAAATCTGCCATTTCACATTGAATCACATTTCATCACTTTTTTACTTTCATCCAATCCCAAGGCTTCATTTCTGTCTTCAGTTCTGTAAAATGAAAATGATACTGTTTAATTGATTTAATTCTGAAACAGTGGGATGCTTTCACTAACAATACATGTATTCTGTAATTTTGCTTACTGATACTTTAAATAAAGTATGTTGGCACATGTTGTTGAAATATCTGTAAAAAAATGTAGCTTATATACCAGTAAATCACAAAAAGGAAAAAACATTTCTTTCCTTTACATTTTGTCAGTTATTTATTCATTTTTTTTTTATTTATGTTGCTTTAAAAGAATTGTCACACATTGGACTGATGGAATAGTCTGACAACAGATGGAACAGTATAATAGCCAATTCCCCCTTTTTTGAGGGAATGTTTGCCAGAAGTGTAATCATCAATTCTAAAGCCCAGAAAAAATTGAACACTGGAAATGTTAATATCAAAACATAATATAGCTTGGCAGCTAGTAGTGTCCTATGAAAAATCTGGACAAAGAAAATTTAACATGGAGATGGTAGAATGTCTGCTCTTGTTGCAAAATAAATCTCCTAGTTATTCCAGAAAATTAGCCCCCAGTTTTGTTTATCCAACAACTTTCAAATAACTGAAAATGATTCAGTGCCTAAGAAAACATGAAAAAATAAAAATGCAAAGAACCAGTACTAATATCATTGAATGCATGAGTGCAGCATTGGTATGGTGGATAAGTCTATTACAAGGACTTCAAATCTATAAACCTAAAATCAGAAACTGAAATGCATTCTAGGTGTCTTACCACTACTTACTACTCAAGAAGCAAATCTTAATCTGTAAATCTCTTAACATGGGCTGACAAGAAGTGGTCTCAATATGTATCAATCTATATTGATATATCAGTGATGGCTATGACTAATACTGTAAAAATAATGGAGAATGTAGTTGCTGGTCAGTCATGTTAGAATCTGTCTCAGTCATTAGCTGATACTGAAGTTTTATCCATCAAGAGAGTAGAGTCACTTTAATATTGTCTCTGTCTGTCACTCAGTTCTTCTTTGAGGATACATAACTCCATCAGTATTGATATACCATTGACCGTTGTAAGTCCAAAAGGCTGTAATAGTGGGCGTAAAACCCGTTCAATAAAGATATATATATACGCTTTCTTGGCTTATTTGGTAAATGTTAGTGTTAAGGATCGTGATGTCAGGTCTGATTTATGTCATATCTCGCAACAGGAAGGTATTTTCTCTGCGTGTCCTTTCGTGCAGGATGTACGATATGATTTCACACATTGGTTAATCTTTCTTCTTAGATTTGCATGTAGAACTGATGGATTGCAATACAAATAATGCATAGACCTTGTATGAACCATAAAAGATCACTAGTGCAGAAGAAGGAGTGTACAGTATAATTAGGTGCATGTACAAAAGACTTGCACTACCTAGTTCTAATCACGGGTCAAAGGCTTTTACGAGTGATTGTGAACAATACAAATCGAAACCAAAAGTTGCGATTCCAAATTGCCAAATCACAGACACAGTAGACAGAAAATGACAACGTATATACAGAATACTAACAAAAATTACATTACATATTCAATAAATAACTTACATGCTGACAATGAACCAATAAACACACAAAAAAATCAAATTCGATCTACCTGAACAATTCAAAACATGGACGCTGCCATTTTGTAAATTGCATTATGGGATTATTTTCATTCTTTCCTTTTTCTTTTTTAATAAACATCAGTATTATGTGGTGAAATTGTCACATTAGCTTTACATACTTGATGGCTTTATTGAAAGATACACTATTGTCTGGTCACAAGAAAAAAACATTAATTCTGTTATCGGACGGACGAGATTTAAGAGTGACATTATGGCGGCTTTCATGAAAAGTTGACATAATGACACGAGAATGTAAACCTTACGTGAATGCAGTAACTGATAACTCTCTTGAGCATGTTTCGCTCTGCCGGTTATTATCGTGGTGTGAATTGTCCATTCTTTGCCAGCGGACTTTGTGAACGCCCGTATTGTCACTTTAGACACGTCAAACAAGATCACAATGAAGGTAGCAAATATGATAAACAAAAAAGTGAAACCGTTTTGTTGTGATTATCGTAACACTCGTGGCTCGACCCTAAATTGTTGGGAAGTAAAGCATGCAGTATTGAAAAGGCATGAATGTCATAACTTATGCAAAACTTTAGGATAAATTACTAGACAGAGCAATTCTGACATAAAAAAAACTTTCATTTAACTCTACTTCTAATGTGTTTGTCACAAAAATAATACTTCGGATAAACCAAACTGGATATTTTGTCGAAGACAATTGCAAGAGCGAGGTTATTTTAGCTTAAAATTGTTCTTGTATCAAAGGAATTTTCGTGAACTATGTTTTGACCACTTATAATATATCGTGGGTGGAGGGAAGTGGTCCAGCTGAACGGAGAAAAGTGAATCGGTTGATTGTCATTGGTTTGTACATTATATAAGTCAATGACTCTCAACCACCTAGTTTTCTACCGTACCTGTAAAAAAGATGAGTGGTTGCTCTGATGTATCCACATTGCATGTCAAATATGGTAGTAGTGAATGAGATTGGTATATAACATAGAGTGTGCCCAGGGGACAGGGTTCAAGTCTAGATGTGGCACCAGTACCTCTATAACAAGAAGAGAGACAATTGCATATTCTGATAGCTTGCAAATATTGACCATGAAAGCTTTTAAATTTTGAAAAAAACTTTCAGGATATATGCATTTTGTCTGCACATTCCTACCCCTAGCAGTTTGGTGTTTTGTCCATGTCTTGAAGTTGAGCAAGGAAAAAAATGGTCAGTACTTTGATGGATGTCCACTCCTTTGCATCTCTAGTGCACATTATATATTGTTCGATTAATGATAATAGTGTATAAAGTATTTGGTTATGAGCTGTGCCAGATATACCAGACACCTGTGCTCAGGTTTACCAATAAAATCAAATAACGATGCTCATCCAATTTAAATATCTGTTATTTAGGTTCATGTTTCACTTGTGTTGAGTTTACATGATGTAAAAATTCAGGAATTTTCATAGAGGAATCATCGCTTTATTCAGGAGGTTTTCATATATGAAATGTACAGTAGCGCAATCTAATTATTAGTCAAGACAGTCCATATCATGCTTTAATTCATCAGAGTTTGTTATGGTCTTCAATATAAGTGTCTACAAAGCATAATAACAATTCCTTTAATCTAACAAGGTTCAAACTTTCCTGTAGAAAAATAATTAAACAATCTAACATTCTCTTTGGAAAATTTAATTTATTTGTCAACAGATAAAAGAAGGCTGGTATATACACTTGTTCAATAGTTTTTACATAAAACTGAAATGGCAGTATGTTGACTTCTTGTGTTGATTCTGTGCACAAAGCTGAAATGGGTTGAAAGAAGCTGAAAAAGAAAGATAGGGAAAGAAATGATATAAAATGTGCAGAATAACCTGCAGCATATCATGAAGTCTGATTTTTTTTCTGTAATTTTTTTATTTCAGATCTGAACAGCAGGGCACATACTCCATCTGCCTCAAAGGATGCTAGTACCTATTTGGAGAAGCTATCGGATGGACAGTTCCCATTGACAAGTGAATCAATCAAGTCTTTCTCAAAGGACAGTGATGTGGATCTTGATGAAAAGAAATTCAACGATCAAATTTTCAACAAGTATACAGGTGAACCAATAGTCAATGAGGAATCAGAAAAGTTGGGAACTATTGTCACAAATCAAAATGACATTGATAAATATAGTCAAAAACCGGTGGAATACAACAAATATACAGGAGAGCCTATTTATCATAAAGAAGATACATCATCATCTTTGAATAAACGATGGACAGAAGCAGTGCTTGGAAGTAGCACTCCAACCTATAATCCTACTCCATTGAGTGAATTGCAAAAACGAAATGCAAATCCAAATCTGAATAAGTATTCATTGTCAGTTAGTTCAAGTACTTGCAGCCAAGAATATGACCCAGAATCAAACTACTCCACCTCTACTAAGCTCACCCATGTTCCAGTCCCTCAAGTTGGTCGACCTTCATATGCCAGTAAGAGGTCGTGTAGTTATGATCCTTCAAATGTCAAGTACAAAAAACCTGTTCTCAAAAGACAACGTGTAGCTTCATTCTTTGATGCAAAGTTTAGTTCTGATGAAGAAGAACAACATACAAAAGCAGACCATGGAAACGATGAAAAAACAGCTTCAAGTGACAAAGAAGATAAATTTCATCTGAAGGATGTCAATTATTTTGAGAAGCTTTTGGATGGACCAAAGGATGTAAAGAAAAACCGTGTTAAAGTTGAAAGTGATGATTCACTAGATTCTTTGGATGAAGATGTCGATGTTACACCTTTACTGGAAAAATGTAGAAGGCGTTCACAGTCAGGGGGCACTGATTATGACAGTGCTGAGGAGAAAATCTCCAATACAGATAAGGGAGACAACTCAAACACTGTCAGAGAGATTATCTCTGATGAAGTTAATGATAGCTCTGATTCTGTTGATAGAAAAACAAACAAAGCATTCAGAGTGGAATCAATCCCTAGCATTGGCAGTGAAAATGACAAATCTGCTGAAAATTGTGATAAAAATGACAACAAAAATCACAGTGCTTTGTCATCACATTCAAAATCTTCCCACCAAAGATCTAGTAATTCTCATAAGTCACTAAAAGAATCATCAAAAATTTCTGTGGAAGATGGAAATTCAACTCATAAATCATCAAAGGAGTCATCTTCATCGAAAAATTCCCATAAAGGGTCTGTTAATTCATCTCATAAATCATCTAAAGATTTGTCTTCATCGAAAACATCCCACAAAGGGTCTAATAATTCATCTCATTTATCATCAAAGGAATCCTCAACAAAATCTTCCAATAAAAAAACTGAACATGTAAAATCTTCTCATAGTGATAAGAGTTCACATCGTTCTTCATCATCAAAGTCTCATTCTAACACATCTATAAGTACAGATCAAGTGGTCATATCCAAACGAAAATCCCGAGATTCCCAAGACAGTAGATCACCAGAAAACGAAAACCATCCGTGTAATACTGACAATTCAAAAAGTGTTTCTAAGTCATCTACTAATAATCACAAACATTCAAGACATTCAAATTCAAAATCGTCATCTTCAAGCAAACACAAGCATAATTCAGAAAAAAGTCACACAAAAAATTCTCACAGTTCATCACATGGCTCAGGGTCTAGTAAACATAGCAAAGACAAGCAAGTCAAACACAAAGACAGTACAGAAGACAATAAAAAAGGGACCAAGTCTGTGTGTTCTGAAAGGAGAAAGTCTTCGGAGACGACCAAGAAAAAAATTGTAGATATCAATGTCGATCTTTTTGGTGCAGACACGGAGGATGAGGATGATGATGGTGACTTGGTGGAGGTGCCAATGGTGACCGATGAAGGACATCTCTCCGAGAGTGACATGATAGCATTTCTCAATGATAGTGATTACTCAGATGAAGACGTTGATAGATATGATGAATGTTTAAGAATATTTCAGGAAAACAGTGGTGTGCAGAATAATGCCAACAAAAAGGTAATTGTACATGTTTTTAACGATATGTAAATGAGATATTACCAATTTATAGAACAAGGTTAATTCTTTATAATTTTTTTGCTATCCAAGATGTCTGCCAAAACCACCATTTTGGAAGATCATTTTGAACTTCAAGTTTAATTCTGTAACACAGTCTGATATTCGATATTGGTGTATATATTAATCATTTAACAGAAATCCAGATAAATGTTATCCCCACAATGAGTCGTTTATGAAATATGAAAATATAGTGGCCGGTACATATATTTACTTAGTGGTGCTCTTTCTAAACAGACCTGATTTGTGTATCCAGTTATGAAACTTGATATACCTGCCCATAAACACTTTTTTTGTAGAGTTTGATTTGAGCTCTCCACCATTTGGGATACAAAAATGCAGTTCAAGATAGGGTAACCCATGTAGTCCTGTAAATATTTTCGTACAATCATTACCTCATGTACAAGATCACATATTGGGGAAATCCAGATACATATTTCATTTTTTATTTATTTGATTATTTTGTTTTAAAGAAAACATTGTATAAAAGGATGAAATAGATTTTACTTGAGATAGATTGGATGGAGTCTAAAGGATAGGTAAAATTGATTATTTAAACTTTTTATCTTCTGCATGGGTGAAGGGATCAGGATCCAAATTTGTGTGAAGCATTTATAGATGACACAGACTCAATATTGTGTGTATATATCATCAGTTTCCTGTTGCCTTTTTGACAGATTGTTATCTATAAACTTTTTGAACATGTTTTCTCACACATTCACCTCATGTACTATAGTGTTATACATCTCTATACTTCTTCGGGTAAAAAGAATTTTCGAGGTCTTTGCTCACCTTTTTTTATTTTTCGTTCCAATTTTCCTGGAATGTCACACACGTTCAAAGTCATCACCTGTTGTTGAGGAATTCAAATATCTGTCTCGGTCAAAAAAACCCAACTGTTTCTATAAAAACAACATTACATTGAGTCAACATCTACAGTCGTGAATAAATTTTCTCTATCTATCTAAGACCTGATAGTGTTGGTCATGAATTGGAATAGATTAAATCTGGTGTCCCCTTATAGAATAGGAATATGGAAAGATACATGTGTCTTGTCAGAGCCAAGAAGGAAAGCTTCCTTGTAATCAAATTTGATGTTTTTTCCATTTTCGGTGACATGTTAAGTACTTACTGTGAATGGATATTTTTATGGGGGTGTATTTTGTGGTTTCAATAGGCAAACTATATATGTGCAGGGCATATTTCCATGACCAAATATATTTGCATATCTAATGTATATAATGTATACGTTGTATATTATATAATGATTATGCAACAAAATATCAGCAGACGACATTGTAATGCCACGTACGAATTTAACCACGTATGAACTGTAATCATTCACGATAATTTATGATAGCAGGTTAGATATTTCAAAGAATAAACAAACAGACGTTAAGGAGAATTACTGTGCATAGTTGAAAAAAACAAAGCTGATTACAAATTTGAGTCTTCAAACAATTTCGGTAAGAAACAAGTCAGTTTTGCACGTCAAATATGTAACTTCCGTGTTTAGACAGCCAAAAAAACGTGACAGTTGTTAATGTCACATTCTGCTTATTGTCACATTTTCCCCAGACAAATTGGACATGATATTAAGCGGATTGCACTATACTTCAGAAATTCATATGCATGAGTAAATGTGACTGAATGACTTCCACGTATTTGGTGTAAATTTACAGCATAATTCAGTGTATACTTAAACCCTTTGTATGTATTTTGACTTGTATAGCTAGCTACACACAACAATATTTAACATTATTTATACGTGATAAATATATATATTTGGTATTGGTATCATTTCTGCCCTGGGACCCGTTTTAGAAAGATGGTATTTTACTCTACACATGTGTACTTAAAATTGCATTATTTTTTTTTTTTATCAGAAATTATCTTCAGAAAAAACCCAGGATGCAAATGTCCCACAAACCCCAACTGGCAAGCAGCGTATGGCACACAAGAAAGATTCTGAGGTATATATCATTTCAGCAGAGATAGATTAGTGTTTGATATCTCACAGATGTTGTGGCCGTGTTGTTAAGAAATAAAGACCAATTAATGCCAGAATTGCAATGATGGTCAGTTGCTTGTGTTCAGGAGTGACTCTGATTTCTGATGTGAAATTGTTCATTTAGAGGTAATTTACAGCCATCAGCCTTTAAAAGGCATTTTTCAGAGTTTCTAATAAACACTGATTTCAAAATTGTAATAGGTATTTAAGAGACAACTCAAACTATCTGTACTATATATTTAAGAGACAACTCAAACTATCTGTACTATATATTTAAGAGACAACTCAAACTATCTGTACTATATATTTTAGAGACAACTCAAACTATCTGTACTATATATTTAAGAGACAACTCAAACTATCTGTACTATATATTTAAGAGACATCTCAAACTATCTGTATTATACAGTGTAGTAGAGTTATAAATTGTATACAATTGTGTACAATTCTCAATGATAGAACTGGAACTGTTTCTGATTGTCTGGGATGAAATCCTTAGATTTGTAGCACGCTGAAACTGAAGATTCAAGACAGGAGCACTCAAAAACCGCTGACGTCGTGCCGTGATGCAAATGAATCTGTCCCATCACTGAAGTTACAAATTTGTTTCCAAATTCAACTTTTTTTAGCTTAGAAGCCACCTGCAGGATTTGTTAACTAGAGCGGAACGGCAAGACGTGCTTTCATTCACTGAAGAAAATAGTATTTATGAATTTGTGTTAAATAGAAATATTTACCATATTTTATATTTGATTTTACAAATTGTTATAATGTATGTGTTTCTTTCAGTTTGTGATCAATGAATGATCATTAATTGAAAACTGCTGATATCTATCATGAATTTGGAAATGATATATAATATGTCTTTATAATGAAACTTGTTTTTCTGTTTCAGTTTACCAGGAAAATGAAAGTATTTGAGAAACCAAAGACCAAGATGTCTCCTGCTGAGGTGATGCACAACCGTTTCCTCCAGATACAGAAAAAGGCCCAGGAGGCTGCTGCTGCTGCTGAATCTGGAAGTAATGGAACAGCCTCATCCTCAACAGTAAGTCTTCTCCATGTTGCTACATAATCTATTGTGTATACCATGCTTTTGTTTTCTTTATAGACAAAAATGTAAACCTTTGATTCAGAAATTTCTTTACACAAAACATCAAAAAATTTAGCTTGGTTGTGTGCATCTTCAGGAACTATAAAAACAAACCCGTCAAACCAGTACAAACTTTTTGACGAAATATGATCCCCACAATTCCAAAGGAGACTGGTTTTGAGCTTGTTAACAAAAGGACTGTGATTGGGCATTTTCAGATTGTAAGTTTTGGACAATGAAGTGCTGAAAGTATGTTACAGTGATAGAGTCTATATCTGCGCGTGATTTGTTAAGTCTAGTGCTTGTATAATGTTTTCTGTAACAGGGAAAAACTTTCTAGTGCCATGTTTTTCATATGTTTATTTATTCATAATAAAGTCATATTGATGTATTGATATGATCTGTGGCTTAATACGTTTCTTTCAATGTATCAAAAGCAAATTCAAATTTTATTTTATGTCATTCCGTAAAATACATAATGTGTATGTGCTTGGCCTGTAGGGGTATTGTACACATGGGCGGGATGGAACGACGTGAGTTCAATTGCATTTGATTGGAGTTGTTATTACATGTTTTGCTGTTTGGACGAATTTGAGATATTGTCCAGTTGAGCTGAAAATTGAAATATAAGAGTTTTTAGGAATGACAGTTACAATGGTACCATTTTCTATAACATCTGTTGTCATTTGGTTGCTATGGTAATCTCATAAGACTGATGATTAGACAGACACTTTCAAGACTACTCTAAATGTTGTGGACCGATTTCAATGAAATTACACAGGGATGTTAGGGACTATGTGTAGATGTGTAAATATGCATGCATCCTGGGATGGATAGGTCATAGGGTCAAATTCTAGAACAACCTCCATGCTTGTTTATGACAAGAATAGCTTTTTGAAACTTCCTAGAAGTAATATGGGAATATGCAAAGGCATGCAAGGGCCTTGGCTAATATTTAACAGTACAGACACTGATAGAGATATTGTTAATCAAACCCTACCTATTGTCAGACCCTATATCTGTGCATAGACAATCTTTGAAGGCTCCAAAGCCAAATGAGTTTGATAATTGCTATTTTGTGTTTTTCAAACACATCATGAAAATTAAGGATGATCTATGTATAATTCATTTGCAAACTTAAATTAAATGTTTCACTGACCATCTTGATAAATTGATAAGTAAACCTTGGTCAACATAAGGATTACCACATCGTAAGAAAGGGTGTGGCTTATAACGCGATCTGCTTATAAGTGGATCAAATTGAACAAATTATTAAATATCAGTCCTGCAGCTTATACTCATGTTCAGTTTAATACAGTTATTACATGTACAATGCAATTCTTGTTAACTCCTGATAGATGGGAAGCTTGGACACACGAGACACATCATTACATGTCATTCTTTTTTCATTTGAGACTGTTCAGAAAATTAGTCGACAGGCAGTCATCCCATCCTTGATTTTATAGCTTTCTTAAATGTCATTTGTAGGTTTCCACTGTTCTGTAGATGTCTTTGTTTCAGTTTGAGACTGATGGGAGAAGGCCTACTGTTATTCACTTCACAATCATCAGTTAAAGTTTGATAACCAAAATCATAACAAAAAATATAGTAGGAAAAATTGATTCAAAATTCAAAAGCAAGGATGCCATATTGCACTATGAGAGTTAAAATTGTCAGCTTAGATATAGTTTTTGTGTCGCCTGCAGAGCTGGCAGACACTTAGGGATCACTTTGTCCGTCTTCACTCGTCGGCGGCGTCGTCGTCCTAATGGAATTTTTTCCAGACTTTTTTCGGTAATGCTTTGAGTTATCAAAATGAAATTTGGCATATGGCATATGGCATTTTGTTGCAAGGGTACATATTAAGTTTGATTCCCGGCTGTCTGTGACCCTTTTTGACAGAGTTATGCCCCTTTCAACATAGAAAATTTCCTTGGAATATTGTTTTCCGGACTTTTTTGGCTTATGCTTTGAGTTATCGAAATGAAATTAGGTATATGGCTTCTTGTTGCAAGGGTACAGATTAAATGTGATTCCTTGCTGTCTGTGACCATTCTTGGCTGAGTCATGCCCCTTTGAACTTAGAAAATTTTCTGGGAATATTGTTTTCTTGACTTTCTTTGGTTATGCTTCAAGTTATAGAAATGAAATTTGGTATAACAACTTTATGGTTGATTGTTGCACATCAAGTTCAATTTCTGGGTGACCGTGACACTTGATGCAGGCAACACATACAATTCAATTTCTGGGTGACCGTGACACTTGATGCAGGCAACACATACAATTCAATTTCTGGGTGACCGTGACACTTTATGCAGGCGACACATACAGTTCAATTTCTGGGTGACTGTGACACTTTATGCAGGCGACACATACAGTTCAATTTCTGGGTGACCGTGACACTTTATGCTGGCGACACATACAGTTCAATTTCTGGGTGACCGTGACACTTGATGCAGGCAACACATACAGTTCAATTTCTGGGTGACCGTGACACTTTATGCAGGCGACACATACAGTTCCAAGGAACTCTTGTTCATTGTTGAATTTTCTAAGAAGCAGCATGTAACTCTCTAGACATTTTATATTATCTGTTTGAGATCCTGAGTCGTTAACTGACAAGATTCTGGCTGTAATGACTGTAATGAGGAGAGTGTTTATTTACTTTCCCTGATTTTTTTTCATGGAATATAGATGTGTGTCCATGGAGCCTTTTATCATTTACCCACAACTTGAGACAAACACAAAAATAGACCTCAAATATTCAAAAACAGAAAGTCACAGCCACTGTTACACATGTATTTTGCCCTATATCTGAACTTGTTGCATTTCCTGGCTGAAGCAAGATGGTGTCAGATGACACAAGTTAGGGCAGGCAAGCAGAAAGGCTGGTGCAACTGCAACATTGCATCAGGTAGTGCAATACTGGGTATGGTGTTGGGCAGGCTCAGGTAGCAAAGAGTGGCAAAGGTGGAGCAAGATGGCATTTAATAGTGTAAGGTGGTATCGTGGATATGATTTGACTTTCAACCTCAGAAAAAAGAAAAATCTGGTTCATATTTCATGTACTAGAATACATTTGTGTGAAATAAAATAAATCTAGCACAAATTTCCTGTTTTGGAATACAGTTGTACGGCTTCTATCAGAATACTTCACTTTTAGTAAAATTTTAAATGATTCTGGCTAACCAAGGTATGAAAGAAAACCAGTAAACAATAAAAACAGCTTTATCATGCATATTATCGTAATATTTCTTGAAGGAATGATGACCTAGGTTGAACCTAAGACAATACACAGTAGTAAATGACTTCAACTTTATACAGGTACTCTTACATTTTGAAGGGATATACATGCTTATCATATGTAGTACTACAGTTTGACTTTCACCTGTTTCTTTGTAATCTTTATTTGCCAATTCTTTAGATTTGACTATTTGAAAGGGAAAGGGAGTTGTCTGATGTTGATAGAGGTGTGGCATATAAAAGTCAGCCATGCTGATGACACTTGTAGTTAAAATGATAAAATTCCTTGTACTGAAAGTCGTTTAAGAAATCTGATACACAGTTTGTCATATCTATTTTTAGAATAATTTGCTGATGTAAGCATATTCCATTCATATCCTGTATAGGTGTACCGTTACTTATGTGTATTAGCCGAGTGTGCTATAAATAGAATCTGAGTCATAGATTTACTGGTGGTGCAATACCCTCATACTACCGGTGTGATAGTACTATTTATGTATACCTTACCTGGTCTAGTGTTTAGTTGATCACTGGAGGCACCAGCTGTGATAATACTGCTGTCATGGATGTTCATGTAAATGTCATGTATTAGCTTTAGTTATGACATGACATAAATGACATGACATAAATGACATGACAATGTTAAAGTATGATATAAATATGATGATTATTATGTGTGTATTTTTATTTATAGTCTTTTGTTGTATTCCTTTAAAAGTAATGGATACAAATATTGCAAAATAAAATTTCCATTTCATTGATTGATATAGTTTTAGTATTTAATTTGGAGGGTTTCAGAGAGAAAAGCATGAGTGGTGGGGGGGGGTGCTAATTGTTATCATTGCCAGAGTTTAAGTCTGATTTACATAAATTTTTTAGGCAAGAAAGTCTCTCTTGTCTGGGACTAAAACAAGGACTGCCCACAACCCTTCTACCTCAAAAACTAATGGTGCATCCTTGGGGAAAACTACCGTCACCACTGCATCACGGACAGAGAAAAGGAAGGCTCGCACTCCAAATGTTGTAAGTCATGAGACTTATCATAAGCAACAGTTACGTTTGTAAAGTTCTATAAAAATGTAAGATTAGGCAGAAAACCATACTAGCTTTTGTTTAAACTATTTTATAATTTGAGAGGCATGATAAGGAATTAGAGATTTGAACCAAAAGATTGAATATAGATAAACTTTATGGTAATAGTGAAGCTTTTCTGAAAGTAATTTGCATTATTCCCACAGCTGATTGTATTTTCACTTTTTTTATTCCTGTTTTTCAGTCCAACTTGGCAAGACCAACAATTCCTTCCGAGTTTGGGAGTAAAGTACCATTTAATATCCGTCAACGTTATCTCAATCTCATCATTGATGAATGTCTCAAAATATGTGATACAGAAAAAGAAGCATTTGATAAGGTTTGTAACAAAGATATCGCTTCAGGTATATAACATAGTCAGAAGTCAAATAAATGTAATATTTGCTAAAGTCACTGTTATTAAAAATCAATTTATGATATAATAACTCATTAAATGTTTTTAGGTCAGTCACATGGTCATAGATCAAAATTATAGGTCAAATATTCAAAGTCAAGTTATTTATATCTTGACTGGTAAATATTTCATAATGAACATCATGTATGTTCATGTATGTTCATGTCTGATATTATAAAGGGGACATGGTGTTGTTAAAAACAAATCATCACATATACTGTCAATTTATTAAAGATTAAACAATTAATTAGAGCCTATGTCAGTCCCATGTAAGTGGGTAGATCAGAGATATGCAACAAAATTGTCCTGATGAATCCTCACCCCACCCCAAGAGGTGAAACAGATTAGCCGAGAAACATGTTAAGTTAGTATATTGTGATTCTAAATTTTCTTTTGTTTTTGTGCCATTTACTAGGTATAATCCTGTTACATGTTTCTTTTTAACAACATATCAGCTATCTAGAGCAGACTAATTGATGAATCATTTTATGACCTCTCACCTCGTTGTGGCCTGGTGACTGACTGAGGATTGTGTATTTTAGGGTCAGATGGAGGAGACTGCAGTGTACAAGAGGGCTTCCAGTAAAACTGTCTACCTCAATATTGCTGTTAACACCATAAAGAGACTTCGCACAGAACAGCCTGGCCCATCCAGTTCTAAAAAGCCAAAGCAGACCGTGTTCCAACTATCACATGAACAGATACTTGGGGGTAAAAATGCCACAAAAACAACATTCACGGTCAATCGATCAGGCGGGGGCTCAAAATTACAAGAGGAAAATTTTAAAGGTAAATATCTACACTGGCTAGCAATATTTAAGGATTAGCATTTGTATTTAGTTTGTAAAAGTGTCATTTGATTAATATTGGCCGAAAAAGAGTCATACACACTTGGTCGTGACCATTTTCAGCCCTTTCATCTGTCAAGCATAATAGTGAAATGAAAAGGGTCAAATGAATATGTTTCTGGAATAGCAATTCATATCAATTCATTCCTTTGTAATGTGTATTATTAAAATCTTGTCATTAATGATGAAAAAAAAAGAATTACAAACATTGCCTATTAAATTTATCTTTACTCTTTGCAATGACTGTTTTCCAGGAGCTGAATTGTATAAGCGCCTGACTCGGTACATTCTGACAGACGAGCAGATGAAAGAGAATGGTTTTCCTAGACCTTCCCCAACCGTTTCAGGCTCAGCCATTTTTCATGTTGAGCCAAGAAAGAAAATCAATGTTCAGTCATCAAAGCCAACAAGTAAGTTGTCTTATGTCAATTTATCTGGAAAATAAGACCTGGAGGGGTAGTGGGTTACAATTTTTGTTGTCTGTTTGATGTACATTTACACGTACCTACAAAATAAGACCTGGAGGGGTTACAATTTCTGTTGTCTGTTTGATGTACATTTATCTGAAAAATCTCACCTGAAGGAGTTGTGGGTTACAATTTCATTTGTCTGTCTGTTGTACATTTAGCTAGAAAAACAGACTTTGAGGGGTCAATAATGAATGAGCTATCAGGTGATAATATATAATATTTAATACTGCAGTATCTGTTCCATTGATTCAGTACCACCTTAAAATCCTCAGTCATATATGTGAACATTACAAATGGTGGTTGTCTGAGGCCAGGTAAATAGTAATAATTTTACTTACATGATGTGATGCAGTCAAGGCTTGTCTTTACAGATTATGAGAAATTGTGTGTCAGATGTGGTAAGATTTTCACTGTGTACCCCAACGGAACTTATGCCACCAAAGAGGAGTGTTCATATCACTGGGGAAAAGCATGGAAGAAACGTGGTTAGTATTCTCTTTAACTCAGTTATAAGCCACAAGCAGAATCACTGTACTGATGAGAAATCAAACTAAATGTAATCTTGGTTGAACTGTTGATTGGGTGTGGTTGAATTCTTCACTAGTTTGATAATTACAGTGTTGTAAAGGTGAGGGTTCAGGTTTTTTTTGAGTAAATATATGTAGATAATGTTGATCTTGTTGATACAGAGTTTTGTTTTGTTATTTTCAGTTGCTGGTATGATTGACACAAGGTATACCTGTTGTCAAGGTGACTTATCATCAGACGGCTGTCAGATTGCCAAGGTAGGCTCACCAGCTGTTTTCTCAGATCCTTTTTCAGATCAGATTAAAATATTTATATAGTATTTATTCATATATTATAAATACTTTAATGCAACATAAACAAGTAATACGAAGACTTTATTTATTTACATATACATGTGTTATACTGTGTGATTGACCAGAAACTCTACTTGGTGTTGCCTGGATATAGAATTTCGGCATTGTAATTTACTTGTGTAATAATTGACTGTTGTTACCATAACAGGGCCATGTCCACGAGACCAACAAATGGGAAGCTCTGTCTGGGTACATGAAGACATTTCCATGCTCACCGCCATGTGATGGAGACTACGGAGTGTTCGCCTTGGACTGTGAAATGGTGGATACCTTTCAATAATATTCTTTTTGTGTAAAATTTTACATTTGTTGTAAAACTTTGTAGTCTTAAAACAGTGTATATAAGGTCTGTGCTAAAGAAGTGTCATCTCATCTATTCCCGTAACACTAGATTTGAAAGATACTTTTCTGCTTCTTGTAGGTTTACACAAAGTTTGGAATAGAGCTAGCACGAGTCACAGTCACAGATCCAGAAAACGACTGTGTGTACGAAACACTTGTCAAGCCAGATGGAGCTGTTATAGATCATAACACAAGGTACACAAGACTTATTTCAACTTTAACCACAACATGTTTCACCATGATATGTTTCAAGACTTGTGGTAGTATATCGTGATATAAACTTAAACAAATTGAGGTTTTGATTTGAAGAATACTAGTAAATACATTGAGTAGATAATTATATTTTATTTAGTTAGTTAATGGATTACAATATTTACAAGGTTGTTTGGAGACAAAATTTTTATACATTAATATAATCAAACTTTCTGACAGGTACACCAATATATCACCTCAAAATTTTGTTTTTCTCCAAATTTTGAAAAAAGTGTTATGATGACTGAATGAAATAGCTAATCATACAAAATGCAGTTAGTGATCTAACAGTAATTCGTATTGGAATAAGGTTATTTAGAAAAAGATATATCCTACCTGTAATGTTCAGGGTTAAACTCTGAAAAGGATAAAGTTTAGTAGGGAAGCTGAGGACTACTGTCATTAGGGGTATAACCGAGAAACCTGAGACAGGTTTAGTGCTGGCTATCTAATAGTCTTGGTCGGTGTATACAGGTTCAGTGGACTGACTGAAGAAGACCTGAAAGATGTGACCACCACACTGAGGGATGTACAGGCTGTGTTGCTCAGCCTTTTTTCTGACCGCACTATCGTCATGGGTCACAGTCTGGAGAGTGATTTCTCTGCCGTCAAGGTTAGTGGTTGATAAGGAGGCAATTGAGAGTTAAGTTATTCCGATTTACAGTAAATGATAACCCATTTCTTATAATTTTGTACATGTTGAAACAAAAATCTTGATTAACCAACAAGGTCAATACACAATATTCCTAAATCTATCTTATCTTTAAGAGGGCGAATAAAGGAAAAGATTAATTTAGTAAAACAAAAGGTCAGTGTAGTTATTTGGGATTTAATGTTTTTATTGGATAATTATTGGTACATGTTATTATGACAGCTTCTACACAACACTGTCGTGGACACCTCAGTCGTGTTTCCACACAAGATGGGACCACCCTACAAAAGAGCATTGAAGACACTCATGGCGGAATATCTGAAGAAAATTATCCAAGATGATGGTAGGTTTACAAATGTCAAATTTTAGTTATAGTATTAACATGATGTGCAATTTTGTATTATAATTAAGAAATGTCTTATTTTAAACTTAAATGTGCAAGTATGATAAAACTTTGAATAAGTATAAAATGTAGAAAATGTAAAGATATAATGAAAAGGTTTCTAAATATTCGAAGTCATAAGTAAAATCGTATAATATCGTGTGATCTTTGACAGTTGGCGGCCATGACAGTAAAGAGGACTCTACATCGTGTATGGAACTAATGCACTTGAAAATTAAAGAAGATGCACGCAAAGAACCAAGGCGAAGTTGATGAGCACGCAAAGAACCTCGGCAAATAGATCGGCATGCTAAGTATCCAGGAAGAGTTGTTCAACACAGAAGAATCGAGGTGAAGACAATCAGTGTGTGGTGAACCCAGGCATAGTTGATCATTGACAGATGACAAAGAGTTGTTTGATTTAAGTTTTCTAAGAAATTCATGTTCAATCTCAACTTCTAGATACATTTACACTTATCACTGTAGTGACCTGTGATAGTCTTGCCACTTTTTTACCAGGAAACACTGGAGGAGGAAATCGTGGGTTCTATCAGTCCAATCATAAATATATATGAACTGAGGTAAATATTTTTTTGGATACAATTGTTTAGATATTGGGATTAAAATTGTTCAAACTGATCATAAGGAATGGTTTTATTGTGTACAAGCAATTCAAAACATGTTAAAACAGTGCGGCAGTTTGAATTTGGTTTCAAGTGCTGTCCTATGTTTCAGGTAGATTCAGATTTTGATTTAAATGGTTAGAAATTTTTGCAGCATTTCGTACGGTGTATAACGTATGTTGTTCATATTCCAATAAGTTAGAAGTATGGTAAATACAGTAATATTTATTCATACCAGGATAATCTTGTTTAAGTTTCCATTTTCTGGATAATTACCTTCATAAGATGTGAACACTTATTCTAAACTTGATGTTTGAATTTTTTGAAATATTTTTTCTGAAGATGTTATTTTAGAATTGGAAGTTCTGACCAAAGCCAAAGTAGGAAAATTACCATCTGGTGCTTGAGCTGGGGAGGTTTCATAAGTGTATATAATTGCTGTCAAGTCCGACACATCTTCTTAAAATAGGGCTGTTAGGTGTGCGTTATTGTGAGGACTAGTGTATAAATGTTTACATGTTTTGTGTGGCATGTTGCAGTAAATAGAGAAAACATTCTCAGATATTGTTTTCTTGTTGAATGTATGGTAGTCAACTTGAAATAATTTGTTCGACAGATATTTGCGAATTATTGAAACATCTAAAACAGAAGATTGAATGTTACTTTACTGTAAAAAATAGTTCTTTCTCAGAAGAAAAGTTCCATATAATATTTTAATATGATTCTAGTTAAAAAAAAATTTATCTTGTATTTTGTTGAAAATTTTGATATTATAGAACTGCTAATTTAAAATATTGTTTAGTACCAGTGGTAAATATTGAAAACAATCTATATATCTATGAAAAGGTTTGTATTTGTGTATTGCATAATTTTGTATATTGTGGCCAATTTCTTGATAAACGTATTCATATTAATTAAAAATGCAGCTATTTTCATTTGTCATACATTATGCATAACTGGTAGATCTAGGTGAACCAGTGTTATTACCGACATTTGTTTGTAATTGGTAAATGTAGATATTGGGTATACTGTCATGACAGTATTGTATATACCGTAGTAACAGTATCTAGAGAGGGTGTTATTTATTTCTTAATTGTCAAACCTGTCTTGTTTGTAGATCATTATGGCCAGGCCAAAGTTTATTATATACATACGAGTGTTGTGTTTGTGATACCGATATCTGTTTTCAACAATTTAAGTACTCATTTGAATTTCATTAAAGCGATGACTGACTGTATGGAGACATTTCAATTTGGATTGTTCAGCTCGACATTAGAAAAAGGTACTTGTACCTTCGGGAAAATTTTGTACACATTTAGTATTTTCAAAATGAAATCTCATTCTGACTTTGGCATACATGTTTCATGGTCATTGACTTTGATGGAAGGTTGTACAGAATTGTCAATACATATGTATTTCATTGCGTTGATAATCTTTTAAAAGCATATGGGGATCATTAACCAAATATCTGGTTTTTATTTTTTGATTCCTACTACATATGGATTTCACTGCTATTTTCATTCTTCATTATTTAATGTACAAATACCGCTCTGTAACATGTTATTTCACCATCAGCATTTCTGTTTCAAGTCATATCAATATTTAGGTCACAAAACACACATCATTGATATTATTTATTAAATCTTGACGATGTTGTTAATATACAAGGTTCATAGATATTATTTGTTTGTTATAAAGTATTGCTATGTCTAACTGTACAAAGCCATAGTGTTATTTCTTTTTTTTTATCAGGTTCATAGCTGATAGCAGTTTTGTAATACAAGATTTCAACATATGAAAATAAAAAAAAACGGATTGAGAGTGAACTCTGTTTTATTGTTGTATTTTTGTGATGCAGGTGAAATATTGAAACAATGATGAAACTCCAAGGTTTAGAAGACTGATTGAAAAGTACTACCTAGCAGCCCTTTGTGGTCAGTCATAACCTCTTATCCAATGGTGTTAATCTTGTCATATTTATAAGGACGTGCTGAATGGAAACATCAAGTGTAGACTCGTTAAAAACCTTCATTAAAAATACCAATCTAAGAATAGTGTATAGTCATGACGGAGACCCAGCAGACCTCATTTTGTCCCAATAGTTTGTAATAAACTGTATGCCGTGATACTAATTATTTAAGTATATGATAACGAGTCTGATAAATGAATATTAGAACATTACACAATTTACTGAAGTACTGGGCTAGTGCACCTCCTGTCTAGATTTTCACTCTTCTTGTGATCACTTACGATTTTTCTCATTCACCTTCGAAGTTTTAAAAGTTCAAGCCCATAGCATCATTGACATTACTAGAAGGGCGAAATATAGCTATATGACGTAGTTAAATTTAATGTTTGGCTCTAGTATATCTAATTCTAAATTGCATTAAATGTTGCTATCCACTTGTGTCTTTGTGATATGAATAGCTTTTATACACTTACATAACATTTTTACTGTGGAAAAAATTGTTTCTCTCTGATCAATTTTGTGCCTACCATATCGTATAGCAAAAAACAACCAACAAATGTAGATATCGTATATTTTCTGTATATATAACATTACAATGTGAGAGCTTCCATCTTTGGAGTCTTCAGCATCCTCCCCTGTAAATAGAATCACAGATGTCAGTGTTGTAGTCAAATTACATTACTTATCCCCAGATAATTTACATTGAGAATTGAAATTTTGAATTACTATTAAAACCACCTACATAAAAATGGATTCATATTAAAAGCAATTGACCCGAAACGAAAGTGTTTTTAGGTTAGATATGAGAATTAGTTCCAGAAAACAGATTTTCCACTTACCTACACGTTGCATAACAATTCTGAGACATGAATGTGGCGTAGGCACTAACAGGGGAACAGAAACCCAATCGTTTCTGATCTTCACAGTACGACTTCGGATAATTGTCCCCACACGGCACTAGAACAGATAAATAAGAGTTTCAACGTTTATCTTCAAAAGATTATTATTAATAAGGAACTCGACATAGCTTCCTTGTTAAATAACTTCACTAAAACTAGAGCCTATGAAATTCACCAAATGATTTGATTTCATGAATTCAAGGGGTATGTACTCCCAACTGAAAGGTCTCTCAAACGGATAATGAATTAAACTACGATTAGAAAATTATTAAAAGAGAATATTCATTAATATTATAAACAATCAAAGATACTCTAACACATTTATTTACGCGATTTAAAAATCTGCTGATGAACTGTCAATCAAAACCGATCGCGGGATTTGGCACGAGGGACATGCGCAGTCACAACAGTTGCATATGAAACTGGAAGCCTTTCTCATGTTTTTAGTTTATTCCAGCAAGTGATCTCTTCCCCTATTGCTATCCAACTAAGATTTCGCTGACGATCCGTCTCCAGTTTCCGTCATTTCTTCGCTGATGCGGTTATAGAAGCCCTTCCCCTCTTTCGTTTTGCCACGGGATCATCCATGTTCTCTTCTTTTTTAGCACGTGCGCGATATGCGCATGCCCGAGATTTGGTTGCTTCTTCGCCGCCGACAACTTTACAGAATGTATCGCGTCCCGGCGTTTATTCTTAAATCAAACTAAACAAATTGATACAGGAAAAATAAAATATTGCGCAAAGTTCTTTTAAAACGTAAATTAGAGCCGAAAGTTCGTATGTATACCCCTTTAATGGATATATGTTTCAATACAATGCTAAACAAGCTTTGCTGTGAATAGTACTATAACGGATTAATGGTTACCGCTTACTTCAGTCTTTACCTACAACGAAATCACGAAACCAACACGGACAGCTTTCCACTATGCTGTATGATAAGTATGATGGTTTTAATTTTCCCTATCGTAAATTTCGAGATAGTAACTGTCCATTTCTTCTTTCCAACCTGTTGCGTTTACATGTCACAGCTGATTCGACATTGCAGAGCTTGCTCATATTACTACTTCCGGTTTTTGATCTAAGATGCAGTACACGTTTGCCATTCGATAACACACGGACATATTTCCCTTGTGCCTTGTTTATATTATTCATTATGATTGGTATTAATTATATTTACAATGTCGATACATGAACCAGCTATCCTGTACAACTCCTACCTTCAGTGGTGGTGAGGATTGGTGCCAAATGCAAGTCGTCTTTGCTGATGAATCCCATCTCTAATAAGGTCGTCACGTACTTCTGTGTCGCCATACTGATTGCCTCCTAAAGGTCCAAATGGAAAAATTATATATCTGAAGATAAGTATTAGTTTTTATAGTTTCACCAGTCAGATAACAGGTGGTAGCTCGAAAAATTATAGTGTTCATTAGTTGCGAGGCCGCTGTAGCCGTTATGTTTG